AATTGTTTATAACAACCTAAAAAATTTACGCCATTAAATTTATAACGTCAACTCACCCGTCTTGATACAAATTATATTAAAATTTTATAAATTGTTAAATATCTCTGAAATTACTAACTTTGGGTATAGGGAATAGTAACATCAATCGAAAGGTTTTTTAATTTACTATTGGACTATGTAAAAACATACCGGGTGTCACATTTAAAATAAAAAATTTATTAAGTTTTTAGTTATTTCAAGTAAGCCTAATTTGCCCTGGGTTTTCTCAGGTAAATTGTTGAAAAATGTTAAAGAATTGTTATAAAATCTTTTAAATAATGTTTTAAGATTTCAAAAATTCCAACCCCATATTTGCAAATCTAATAACAAAAAAGTTATAGGCTGTTTTAATCCTGTACCTCTCGCATGCCAAGCGACCGCCCTACCATCTGAGCCATCCATCTTAACATTAATTTTATAACGCTCGGGGAATAAAAACGGATTTACAGTGTGTGACGATGCGTTAACCGCTTAGGAAACGGATATGCAGGTCTCGTATCCGTTTCCTATACGATTGGCGCACTTCGTTGCGCTAGCCCTAAAGGGGTATTACCTCGAACTCCAATATTTTCCATTGTTTTTAAACATTTGCTACAAATTCTAGGAATTTTACTCGATCGTACAGGTAGACCTAAATATAATCATTGTTTTCAGACTCAACCTGAATCAGGTTACCTGATATGATGTAATATCGCACAAAAAATATATATATCGCATTAAAAAATATATTTTCCCTGCCAAAATTCGAGTTCAGGAATGTTTTTTTACAATCATGCAGAAAACCATCAAATGTCATTTTAAAATGTAGGGGTAAGTTTACTGCTTTTCTATTGGCTCCGGGAAGCCGACGGAACGGGAAAGTCAAAACTTGGCCAACTTTCACGTTCGCGTTTCCGTTGCCGTATACGTTTATTGTGCATGCATACATTGAATTTGGCCTTTTTAACTTTTTTCCCGTTACCGGGCTATTGTGCAGCGGCCTTTAGTCACAAATTTAGCGAGCGAGCTTGCAAGCGACTACTTTATTAAATGAGTGTCTAGCAAAGTTTATAAACAAGTAGCATACTATACTTTTTCTAAGACAAATACTTATTATTATCTAAAATTATTTTAATTAAATAATAATAAAAAAGTTTATTTTACTTTAATTATTTTATATTATTATTCGATTTTGCATTTTAAAATGATATTTATTTCCACCTCCTTAGTAAATGACATTTTATAGGTTAATTTTGTTGTTTTTGTATCCAAGTAAACGATACATTATGGAAACAGACCTGTAATATTTTACGGGCTTGTATAAAAGACCTGTAAAGTTTTACAGGCTTGTAGAAAAGCAAGTTATGAAATGAAATGACACATTTGACACAATAATTGAAATTTTAAATTTAAAAATCGTTATCTAAAGGTGAAAATAAAAGTTTGTACGTGTCACGCTTTGCAATTAATCTTTACTAGGCTCACTGGATTATGGGGTTCGCTCCTGCGTCGCTCACCCACAAACTTCGAGCTCGCCCGTATGATTCATTTACAAAGCTTGACACGTAAATAACTATTATTTCCACCTTCTTAGTAAATGACATTTTATAGGTTAATTTTGTTGTTTTTGTACCCAAGTAAACGATACATTATGGGAACAGACCTGTAATATTTTACGGGCTTGTATAAAAGACCTGTAAAGTTTTACAGGCTTGTAGAAAAGCAATTTATGAAATGAAATGTCACATTAATTAAAATTTTAAATTTGAAAATCGTTATCTAAAGGTGAAAATAAAAGTTTGTACGTGTCACGCTTTGCAATTAATCTTAACTAGGCTCACTGGATTATGGGGTTTGCTCCTGCGTCGCTCACCCCACAAACTTCCAGCTCGCCCGTAAAGATTCATTTACAAAGCTTGATACGTAAATAACTATTAAAGGCTTAGATTTGCTCAGTTTATTTTTTTGGTATTTTTATTTTTATTAACTTAAAAGTAGGGCTGTACAATTTAGCCGGTGAAGCCGGTGAAGTTAGCTAAGTTAATTAGCTAGCTAATTAACCGGTTAACTGAATTAGCTTAGTTAATTAGCTGGCGGCTTAACCGGTAAATCTAGCTTAGCTCATCTAATTAGCTAACGGCTAAACGGCTAATTAGCTGAGCTAAGCTAGATTAACCGGTTAAGCCGCCAGCTTATTAGCTAAGCTAATTTATTTAACCGGTTAAATTAGCTAAGCTGATCAGTTAGCTAGCTAATTAACTTTGCTAACTTTTTTAGCCGACTTAACCGGCTAAATTGTACAAAGTATTAAGCCTTGAAATATTTATAAAATTTTTGTTGAGAACTGGTTAAAAGACCCAAAAACTAATTGTCCAAGTTGACTCCATTTAGAGGATTTCACATTAGAATAAATTTACAGGGATCAAAATACTTCGTAACAAACCGTAAAGCAGATTAGTATCGGATTCTGTTTTTCTAAACCACTTTGATCCTCTTATCCCGAACCCCTTCAATTACACCTAAAACCAATTCACGTTCACATTAGGGATGATGAAATTCATTCTCGCGTACCTTTTCGTTCGTTATTATTCATGCAGCTGACTTACATCGTTTCTCATTTAATAAATCCCATTACTTAATAAAACATAAGGCCAGCGGCTTGTGAGCGAAATCAATTAGGGGCGGCAATTAAATCGCTTCCCGCTACCCTCCTGACGAGAGCGGCGGCGGTGGTGAGGCGGCTGAGATCGTGCGGTTGAATAAGCTAAGCGGACCTTCGGCAAATTGAAAAGTAGCGAGCTGTTTTCCACGCTGATTAACATGCTTGTAAGCTGTCACGTCTGAGGGTGCTTCTTTCCCGCTTCACGTCTCTTTCCTGCCTTTTCTGCTCTTCATACTACTCGTATCCAAGTGGAATAGGGGTGGCGGTGAGAGTGCGGGGGCGGGGTCTCTTTTGCTATCGACGCGGAAGATTCCGCCGTTTGGGAAAGATCGAATGTTCACAGCAGGGCAGGAATATTCATTTTCTCCGCTGCGCTGCAATCCATTGTAAAAGACAATTTATTATTATTACACGGGCTTCGGCACAAAAGTGATGTAATATCGTCGGTAATTCTTCCAGGATATTATACGTCTCCGCTGAGAAGAGACAGATTAAATGTCGTTCTAATTCTACTTTATTCTGGTTTAATTTAAATGGCGTTTTTTTCTGTAAGATTTGAGCTAGGGGAAAATTGGATTTATTTGTTATGGTAATCGAACAAAATAACAATCATTCCTATAATTAACTAAATGTATCGAAATAAATATAAACTTTTTATATTTAAACCCCCACTGACAACTTAAATCCTAAAAAGTACTAACAAAGCAATTGTCCTAAACTCTTAATTATAACGAAACGGAAGCAAAAATGAAGTTGGTAATGATTTTGTGTTAAAGTTGGCAAACATAATTTGCCGGTTTTTCCGTACCCTTCAATTAGTTAAAGAAGGAACATAAAAACGGCGATAAATACTAATTCGATTCCCCCGAGTCGACAACAAACTTCTCAATCTGGAAGCGAACAAGCCCAAGCTCAAACGTCGGAGAGGCAAAAAGTGGCGTAACGGGAGTCGATCGTGGGAACTTGCACGTCACGACGCCAAGCGTCGCTTTCGGGGAAGACGAGCGCGGGATCGTGTAACGCCGCTAACGGGGCCGCCCCCGGTGCGCTCGTGGTGGCGGCGACGGCGGTTCGGCCCTTTAACCCCGAATGACCGGGACCAGGTCTCAACCCCGAGACCTGGGACTTATTTATTACGCCCGCCTTTCCGAGAGCCAGCCAAGCTGCCGTTTTTCCCACGAGGGGAAGAGATTCATGACTTGAATAAGTCCGTGGCTCTTAGCTGCGGAGGGATATAATGCCGAAAATGGCCTCTTAATTTGTTTGGGTACGCTTTACTCCACCAAGCTAACAAAGTGATACTGCCACAGTATTACGCTGCGTCATTTTTCATTTATGACATCTTAAGTGTAAACACTACATTCAGAACGTCTTTGCGATGAATACCACACACCTGTCTTCTATCTGTGACATTCTCATACAATAGATTAATGATCCATCACCTTCTCTTTAAATTACGACATCATTATCATTAAATGATTCCTTAATTGCAAAAAAATACCACTTATATGTATATTGTCGCTTAATTTACTAGTATACAAATAAAATTATTAACCATTTGATGCATTGCATTAAAAAAAAATCACGTTACTCGATGAACTTCAATTAGTTCAAAAGAAAACATTTACATCGATCTAATTGAACTGTATAATTGACCCCTTTTTGAACAAGAACATCTGACTATTTTATTATGCCATAAACTTTAACACTGGCCATTAAACAACCTAACATAGGTCGCAACTTCTGACCTCGTTTCGTTAGCATCGATTAAGATCAAACGAGGCTAATTTATTGCAATTTATTTGGTCTATGTTTTTTTTAATCTAAAAATAAAAAAAGTAGTAAGAACAGGGATTGGACAATTTGGTTTAGGTATATCAATATTTTTATTTAAAAAAAAAATCTAAAAATAAAAAAAGTACTGAGGACAGGGCTTAAACCGAACTAGGAGATAACATGAAACAAAGCCAAAATAAAACAGGGATCAAGTGATGTTTCGTGTTGTGTCCGAGCAGCAAATAATACGTGCTTAAGCTAGCAAAGGCGGGATTAGGGGAATCTATCATTTTCTACCAACAAGGCATGCGTGGCTATCGATCTAATTGTTTATTATTAATCTCTCGATACAAAAGCGGTAAAATCAATTAATTTGGAAACGTGATATTCAACTTCATGAATTTGTAATCAACATGTTTGTTTGCTTGTGGACAATTAAAATTTACAGCGCCTCTGTGTTTTACCACATGTTAAGGTGCCATGCTTATCACAATGTTAATCCATTAAACTAAACAGTTTGTTAATTCCAATTAAATTGTTTCAGGTACTTTAAGTAGTCCTAAACCGTCTGCCTCAACAAATGGAAGCGCCAAGCCTCGATTAACAACGGGGCACTCGGTGCCTGGACCCGGCCCCGGTGCTTCGGGCGCCTACGGTACTTCGTTCGCGATGGCTTTAAGAACTTTAGCGCAAACCGTTACCGATAACCCCGAACATTCCGCCTCAAGACAAAATTCATCAGAAACCTCAAGAAACAGGGAACCAGGTACAATACTTTTCCGATCATTAATTAATTTGTCAAATTGATTCCAACTATTATCTTATTTTAGCTTTAAATTATAATTAATTAAAATAAATGATATATACTTACTAACATAATATAGTAAAATTGATAGTTTAATAGTAATAAAACTAACGATTGCATAAACACAACCAAACTTATATGGAATCACCCAATTACGAGAAAAATTATTTCACTTAAAAAAAGTGGTTTGAAAATAAAAAGCACATCTGAACAAATTTTATTATAAATATAAAGAAAAATATATTAAAATAAATTTTCTAGAGAACATTACAAAAAATGTGAACTTCTCTGAGAATAAACTTTAAATTAAATTAGAATTTAGGAAGAAATAATAGGTTTTAGTTAATTTAATATTCAGTGTTTCCACCTCTAGTCTCAATGCAAGCTCAAGTTCGACGAGGCATGTTATTTATTTCTTTTTGTTGAACTTTTTCCCACATCTCTAAAAGTACTTCTAATAGTTGCTCTGCGTTGCTGAGTTGTTTTAACAGGCTCTAAATCTTGTTTTAACCTTATCCCTTAAGTTTTCAATTGGATTAGGATCCGGTGAACAAGGCCACTCTAAAACAGTCACACTTTCCATTTCTCAACAGTCACACTTTCCATTTCTCTACAGTTTTTTTTATCAGCGGTGGTGCATTATCCGGCATAAATAAAAAAATCGCAGAACAATGTTAAGGGTAAATTGGTATTTAAAGCATTAAAACTGAACAATTGAAGATTAGAAAAATGTGTTATTTACGGATAGATCCAGAATTGGCCTACATTAAGACGACCGGAGAATTCGTAAGAGGTCGTGGGTCGCTGGACGATAGATTTCTCAAGGCAACGGAGGAAGTGTAATGTTTTGGGGAGGCTTTATGATTTGTGAAAACATTCCTTTGATTTCCATTAGACAATTAGAGGTACAAGGTATGTGGATTTAGTTCTACAACCCGAAGGCTCTGGAATTCCGCTATTTTTACAGGATAATGCACCTCCATTTACCAGCAAGTTGCCAAAAATTGTTTGGAAACGGAAGTGTTTAGATTGGCCCTCTTGTTCACCGGATCTTAATCGAATTGAGAACTTGTGGAATAAGGTTAAAAGAAGGATTAAACCTCCTCAAAATAGCCCTGGCAATACAGATAAACTAATAAAAGCAGTTTTAGAGGGGTGAGGAAATGTTTCCCAAGAAGAAATTTATAACTTAATAGAAAGCAGGTATCTTCCATTTTAATCCATTTAGTAAATGAAATAACGTGTTAAGTCTAAGAATATTCTTTTTCTGTTTAACCAAAATGCGTGAACATGCTTTTTTAATATTTTCTAAAAGCAAGTGAAATTACCCTAAAAAAATCAATGTTAAAGTATCCGATTCACAAAAATATTGTATAAAAGAAGCTGCGCATATCTTGTTGTTTGCCATTTCATGTGATTAGAAAAAGCAGGCTCATTTTGTCATATTTTAACTATAGTTTTTTTAAACAAAAATAGCTATGAAAATAGTCAAATGTTTCGCATCTATTGAATTAATCGATAATCAATAAATGGTTGTAATGATTGATTAATTAAAAACTTTATAGTATTATTAGATGTTTTTGTGCCGGTGTTTTATGTAAAATATTTTGTTTTAGCTCCTGTTCCAACGATATCGGAAAAACCGAAATCAAGTATAGAAGTGCCTACGTATGCATCGGGAAGCAGTACGGCATCCCGGCCGCCTGAAAGAATGAGTCTTAGCAATTCGTCGGACCGTTATCAACCACAATCTGCCTCCCTATCTGAGTTGAGTAGATGCGGGTTTCAACCTTATCGCCCGGAAGAAAGGTAAAATATTAACGCCGGTTGTAACCTCTAGATAGCTAAATTAACTTTTTCCTTTTTTATTTTCAGGATTCCTTCGATTCCAATGGGATTGGACGTTCCCGGCTATCCGTCTCCTTACGGCGCCTATCCAAGTTTACCTCTGGCCAGTATGGAGGAACAACTGTATTATGAGAGAATGTTGAGGGCTGCATGGCCACCCATGAGTCCTGCTGCTTACTTACCTTACATGATGCCTGGTTCCGTGCCTATGTATATGCATGAAAGGTAAGAAACTATAATAATATCATATCTGGAAGTTACTTAATTAACTTTTTTAATAAGATTATTTTTGAACTATCAAAGTGACTAGGTTCTTATTTTATAATTATATTTATTAAGGTTTTAATATTTATTCTCCAAAATCACAATTAAATGTAAAAAAACAAAAAGGTCTATTCTGGTGACATTATAAATATGAAAAAAAAATCACTTGACAAGAAAACTTTAAAGTATCTAAATCCGCCGAGAAAACATCCGAGCCTCAATTGACTTAGTAATACACCAACGTACACAACACCTCACGGCGCGCACGTTTTCTAAGAGCGCCTTTTTATGACCTTTTTTACTAAATCCAGGAATGATTAAAGAAACAATAACCTTTTCAATATAAAAAATTATTTTACATTTTTGCTTCAAAAATATGTTCAACAAGTGAATCACGACTGTATAAAACTAATTTTAATCTAAAATTACATAAAAAAACATTAGTTTTTAACTATTTGGTTTACTTTGTTTACATTTTTACAGTGAATTAAACCCTTTCAAGTAAAATATCTATCAACATCATTATTTAATGGTGCACATGCATTAATGTTGATAGACTTTTACTTGAAAGATACAATTATTCAATAACAATCATTTGGTTAAAAACTAAAAAATGTTTTTGTGATTTACCTAAACAAAATAAGAATGGTCGCGAATTTAGTTGTTGAACAAAAAAAATAATAAATCACTGAGATCTTGAGAAGTAAAAATGTTAAGAAGACATTTTTAAGTAAAAAAATACCTATTTTTTGTATTAAATAATCCCGGAATTAAGTAAAAATGGTCATAATAAACGCGCTTTTTGGAAACACCCTGCGTAGTATTACTTTAAGTCATTTTTTCAGCGGATTTAGATTCCTTTTTTCAGATATTTAAAAGGTCCAGAAGATTAATTAATAAATTATTATATAAAAATTGATTTTTTGAAAATTTCATTACATTTGTTATCCTAAAGTTTAATCAGTTTAAGAATAACAACATTTTGTTTGAAAATTTAACAAAAATTTTATTGGGCATTAACAAAAATATGTTGGTAAATTAATTTTTTATGGTTTTTTCAACATTTCGACAAAAAACAATTAACTTCAAGCTAAATTTAGACCGTGACTAAAACGCTCAAAGTCACTGCATGTGTGTTTTTAATGTGGGAGTACAAAAAAATATTTTTTTATTTTAAAGAATGAAACTAGAAGAGGAACACAGACAACGCCTGGCGCTAGCACGCAAAGACGACTCGGAGCGCGAGCACATGGAACTTTTGCAGCATCAAAGGGAACGGGAGCAGCGCGAAAAAGAACGCGCTCACCGCGAGCGCGAAAAAGCTCGACTCTCTCACCTATCTCCATCCGGTCACCACTCGGCTCCGCAGCCTCCGCTCATGATACCTATGATGACTCCCAGCTCCATGTTTCCTCCGAACGCGATCAGCAGACACTCTCCCCTCAACAGCGGCTTTCTCTCGCCTCAGAACTACACCGTGCCCAGGTCGAGTCCCTCGTTGCAACGACACTCGCCCAGCGTGCACCCGCCTTCCGCTTACACCCTAAATCTGAGCCAGCGGCGCAGTCCGATCATCCAGCCGTCGGGGCCGCTCATCAACAACTTGGCGCCGGCGACGGTCACCTCCTCTAGTCATAACCCGCCGCCGAGGTCGTCGCCAAAACCGCCCACTCCCAAGAACTCGATTTCCACTACACCGCCGGTGGTAATTTCCAGCGCCAGCGCTGTCAACTGCACCATCAGTGAGGCTTCGGTTGTCAGGGCAACTCCACCGCCTCCCGCGGCCGCTCCTCCGTCTTCCAAGTTGGCCGAACCGGCGGCCGCAAGTGACAGTATTAGAGACAACGGGGAGACAGCCTGACCTTCCGCCATGAATGACTACCCGTGTCAAAGATTTACAGAAAAACCTTTTGCCGGTAAGTACTGCAACTTATAGGTCAATTCTGCGCACATCTGTAAGCAAATCTATAACTTTATATAAGCTTATAGACAATTTGCATTTCTGCGCTTCCTGTAGCTCACAGAAAATCTCATAGAATCGTAAATATTTACGATCGGCTGTTTGCCAATCGTTGCTAGTTACAGTTTGTTTGTATTGGATTATGTCAAGCTATTTTAAAAATTAAAATCAAAAATGTTAATGAATATAGTAATATTTATCAATTGGGGCAAGCAGTCTGGGCCAACTTCATTAAATATAATTTTAATGTTGACTAAATAAAACAATACAAAAATTAAAAAATTTTTATTTTACATATGAAAATAAAATAATTGTATATTATTATACGAGAGATTATGCAGGCTATTATTCACGAGGATGAAGTTTACGTCTCGAGTCGCCAGACGGAGACCTAAATCATCCTAGTGAATATTGCGCATAATCTATAATACTTTACTTTATCTACTCCAATAAGTAGATAATTACACGATTTTTAAAATTAAATTAATAAAATCTGACATCTGTCAAAAGGTTAACCTTACTTTTTGCCAATTTTAAATGTTAGTCGCCTTCCAATATAAAACCCTCAATAATGAGTTTATTATTCACGTTGGCAGGCAGTTAGTTTATAATGTTTATAAATATTCACGGAAAAACCCCAAAATTATGCAATAGGAGTAGATAATAGTATATTATTATTTTCGAAAGTTAATGCGCATTATTTCGAGTGTAATACTATGCTTTTTCTACTCAAATTTTCATTGATAACAAAATTTATTATAACCTCACTTTTCCCTGATTTTAAGGATCATTATAGTCACCCCTCGTATTTATAAACAAATCTGACATCTGTTAACCTTACTTTTTCTCAATTTTAAACCCGATTGGTTCAAATAACAGTAAATATTGAAATCAGCCAATCACTGAATAATAAGTTCATTATTCACGTTGTTAGGCCGAGCGGTTACCATTATTTACGGAAAAACCCCAAATAATGTCAATAATATGTAATAGGAGTAGAAAATTAGTATATTATGTATCAAGTTTTATAAACGCCATTTTAGTTACGAGTTTAATTAAGCACGAGCGAAGCTTGCAAGCGAGTGTTTAATAAAAACGAGTGTCTAGAGAAGTTTATAAACGAGTTGCATACTATACTTTATCTACGACGACTACAAAACAGAATTTAAAGCCAATTTTATTTGTTAAAATTTTGACATCTGTCAACTGTCACCCGAATTTAACCTCACTTTTCCCAATTTATAATAAAGCTAACTTCAGCCCGTGACGTAAAATGTCGAAAAGCCACTGTTGTTAACTTCAGCCCGTCAATAAAACGCCATAAAGTTACAGCTCGTCAATGTAGGAGTAGATAAAATAAATTCTTTAAAAAAATTAACCGCAATCAAAAAAGAAATAAACAACAAAATAAATAAATATTCCAATCAATCAAAAATTAATAGGTCAAACATCAAGATTAGGATTTAAAAATTTGAATTTTTTCTGGATAGTTTTCAAAAAGCTCAACATTTTTTTTTTTTGATTTTCTGCTCCTTGTTCAAATTTATTAAGTTTTCTGCCATTGCCTCCAAATGTAGTTTTAACTGTTACTGAGTGGTGTTTTTTGTTCTCTTTCTCTTTGTTTTTGCGTTACCACTAAAAAAATTATTTATTATATATTAAATGTTCTTTTAAATGTAAACCTCATTTTATTCCCCAACTAGATTAAATTTTTTACTTTTTATATTATATTATATGCTGGTACACAAATGATAAACCGATAAACAAAATAATACATATAAAAATATTGGTTAAGTTTAATCGTAAGTAAATAGGCGTGAAGTGTTTATACCGTTTTAAATTAGACATTTACAGATAACATCCCAGAATTGCCACTTTTACGATTCTATAAGCTATAGATTTACGAATTTACAGAAATTTTACCAGAGAAACCAGAATTGACCTATTAACATAACTTTTGAATGTTTAATGAAGAAGTAAATTTGTTACAGTTGGAAAGTCCACCATAGCACCGGACCAAATTAACGCTCAGTTCAACTTCTCAACTCCAAACTATATTAAAAAACCGTGCACCGTAATAACACACACCAATTCGTTTATTAATCATGATAATAATAATCAAAGCGTAGATCAAACAAACAAACAAAAAATGCATAAAATATCGCCGTACAACATCGACTTCATTGTGAGAGACTTGGGCGTCAGCAAACCCAGTGATAATGTCGACGCTGAAGTCAGGCACGTCGAAGATATTAACAATGTTACCACTGGGGTTACATATGATTTAAATGCAGCAAGTGTACCTGAAGTTAATCTGGAGAAAGAGTATTATAATTTTCCTAATCAAACTCAATTTGATGAACGCACTTCATTTGATAATGCACAAATTACAACTTCAAAGGAAAAACCGCTAAATAGTAATTTTTTATCAAACGAGTCTTGTACAAAAAATGAAATGGAATCTGAAAATTGTTATCAAAGCGAAATTAATTCTGAAATGCACACTGAAGAATACAAAGTAAAAAGCAGGAATATCGATGAAAAAATCAAAGATAATTTGGGCACACCTGATGATCAGTTAAATATTGTTGATGTGGAAAAGAAATCCATTAATTGCAACGAAAAAATCATTCTACCTCCCAAGAAAAGTTATTTTCTAGACAAACAACAGAACATTGAAGAAAACGTATTTGGTAAAGATCAAACAACAAAACATCCCACAAAGATTGTTATACTGGAGGATATAACGATCAGGGGCAAACTGGACAAGAAAAATCCAGATGACGTTACCAAAGTAGTAAAATGCGCGCATAGATCGCGGCAACGGAGAAGCAAATGCGACAAAAACATACCGCCGATCCCGTTCAAAATAACTCCCAGTTCGGAAATAAACGTGCCGATACCTCGACGCGTGAAAACCGTCGAAAACACCATCAACAAGGTGTACATCTCGGCCAACAAGTGCAACGAGGTGAAGCACGCCACCACGCCGCTCCCGTTCAAAATAACTCCCAGTTCGGAAATAAACGTGCCGATACCTCGACGCGTGAAAACCGTCGAAAACACCATCAACAACGTGTACATCTCGGCCAACAAGTGCAACGAGGTGAAGCACGCCACCACGCCGCTGCAAGAGGACCCGAAGTCGCTGCAGACGCACACGCCGCAGCTGCCGACGCCGCCGTCCAACTTTCCCGTGCAAATCGAGTCGAGCAGTTGCCATAAAAACCCGCAAAACTTACCGCACCTTATCGTTCCTACGACGTACAACGTGAACCGGATCAGCGGCCTCACACACCAACCTCATCTTGTTGCTAGTCAGAGTAAGTTAACCGATACACATTCCGTGGATTTAACGAGGATAAAGGCGAATGCGGTGGCGGCGGCAGCGGCGGCGGAAAAAGCACGTGCCCAGATTGACGGGGGAGGAGAGTTTACCGTTTTAATCATACCCAGCCTGAAGCACAGCAACCATGATATGCTGATAAACTCGCAGATGAAAAAGGTCAAAGTCAGCAGAATCGAATTTGCCATGAGAAAACGAAAGTTGAGGAAGTTGAGGCGAACTACCAATAAAGAGGTATGTCAAACTTTTATTTACGTTTTCAGGAACGCATGTTTTTAATGTATCTTATTTGTCAAGGAATTTATTTTTATTAGTTTAAATCTTTTGCAGTAAAGTTTTTTAAAATGGTTTTAAACTATTTAACCAACCAATATTCGTAAAACACAGTCTCGAAAAATATAAAATGGAACTTCTTTTAATTTTTTTCATCTGGCTAAACATTTGGTTTTAACCTTGCTAAAAATTTTGTTAACTGTTAACTAGTAAAGAGCTAAACTGCTATATTTGCTTAACGCTGCTAACTCTTATTACTATTTTAAAAATAGTATTTTTAAATAGCAGCTATTTTTAAATGCTACTGCGTTCGCAACTTTTAATATTTGTTAGTGCGATTTTTAGTAACAGCGATTTTAAATAGCAGTTATTTAAAACTGCTAATGCGATCGCAACTGCTAATAATTGGTGCGATTTTTCACCCTTTAGTAGGTAGTGCAGGGCTCCCAGCAGGTAGTTTTTTTAAAGACTTGTCTATATTTTTGTCTTAAGTCTATAAAAGTCTATTTTTTTACCTAAAGTCTATAAAGTCTATATTTTCTGTTAAAATCAACTATTAAAAAATATTTTTTTAAATATAAATATTCACAGTTTTATAAATATCGAAACCATAGTAAACCAAGTGAAACATTCGAAAACTTCGCAGTTTACATTTAAAGTTCCCGCCGTCCAGACCCGAACCGCCCGCCAAAATTATTGCTGAATTGTTTCTGGTTTGGTCTAGGGTTCGTTTACGTTTATAGTTTCGGTTCGCTAGGTTAACACTACCTATATATGCATTTTTCATGAAATTAGTAAGTACCTAGTATCTATCAAAGAACATGTGACAAAGAATGTGTTCCTATTCTATGTTTTATCATCCATTCCATAACCCTAAAAAAATATGTTCAGACGATAGCAAAGTGTATAACTATAGTTTTGATTATTAAAAATAATACATTTATATTATTTAATAAAAACAAAGTTTAAATGTACTTGTACTGACATAAAAAAATTAAATTGAACGATTAAGGGAGGGTGCAGAAAATAAAAAAATGACTTAAATATGTATGGCTCAACAGTTGAGGCTGGTGGATTTTGGCACACTCATATCTCAGTTATTAGACATGGGACATGTACTTGTACTGACATAAAAAAAATTAAATTGAACGATTAAGGGAGGGTGCAGAAAATAAAAAAAATGACTTAAATATGTATGGCTCATTGAGCGCTGGTGGATTTTGGCACACTCATATCTCAGTTATTAGACATGGGACCCACATCAAATTTATATGAGTTTATAATGACATTATATAGATAAGTTCTGCGCAAGCAGAATTTAAATTAAAGTTTGCGAAAAAAAGTTAGTTTTTAATTGCAACCCCCAGCCTCCAGCCCCTCCAAATTAAGATAATTCAAATTAAAGTGGTACAATATTTAATTCACTGAAGTTTATCGACAAATTTCAAATTTTATTAATAAAATTCAATAATTACAGGTTTTATACCATTTATAATTTTTTTAAATTTAGTAAAAAAAATAATAAAAATTATAAATGGTATAAAACCTGTAATTCTTAAATTTTTTTAATAAAATTTGAAATTAGTCTATAAACTTCAGTGAATTAAATATTGAACCACTTTAATTTGAATTATCTTAATTTGGAGGGGCAGGAGGCTGGGGGTTGCACTTAAAAACTAACTTTTTTTCGTAAACTTTAATTTAAATTCTGCTGGCGCAGAACTTGTCTATATAATGTCATTATAAACTCATATAAATTTGATGTGGGTCCCATGTCTAATAACTGAGATATGGGTGTGCCCAAAATCCACCAGCCGCCACTAATGTTTGAAGGAGTGAACCATCCCAAAAAAGAAGCGGGGAAGGTAACTTACAAGATTAGTCGTCTTGCCCAAGATTTAGAAAAACGAAAGGCGAAAATTATAGATCAGCTGCAGCCACCAAAAAAAGTGCCTTTTATATAAATGTGATTCTATTTATTATAAGTTATGATTTATTACAGAATTTAATATTTTTTTTGTTATTTATGTATTTTATAACAGTTATGGTTACTTCTTAAATTTAATTCAATAAAAATTTATAATTTCAAGTTATCTCTATGTATTTTAAATTCAAATTTAGATCTTTTATCCCAAAAAAATGTATACCTCCTTTTTATAGTTATTTAGGTTATTAATTTGGTCTATATTTGGTCGTTTATTTTTTATTATTAGTCTCTTAAGTCACTATTTCTTGCAACATGGACTGCTGGGAGCCCTGAGGTAGTGGCCTCCTGCTAAATTGTGAAAAATTGTACTTGAACTTATTCATTTTGCTGCTACATGTTTGTTCTTAAATGTAAAGTTGTAACTGTTAAAACATATTTACTATTTTTATTAAATAATACTTAATACTTAAGTAACATACATTCATAAATAAACTTAGATGTTGCGATTCGTAAAATTACCAATAGCTGCTATTTTCGGTATTAGTCAACAGTTGTTAACTGCTACTTTTGAGTAGCAGCTATTTAAAGCCAGTTAGCAATATTTTTTTATCATTACTGTTTATAAATTTCGTGTTTTACTGGAAGAAAAAATTATTTTTAAGACCTTTTGATATACATGGTGACCAGGTATAACCTTTTAAGCAATTTTTCCAAGAAAGACTTTAAATTCATTGTTTGTTGCCAAAAGATTATCATTTTTAAATTAAAAAAATATATATATTATTTTTAAATTCGCATTGACACCTCCACAGTGGAATGGTAAAAAACTAGTCAAAATCCATTTAAAAAAAACGAATAATGCTATCATTATGAAATTTTAACAACATATTATTGTGGCTTTAATCTTGATCCTGTACAATTTTTAATTCAATTGCCTCATTTTATGATGGTTTAACACGGTACGCCTGAACCCCTTTTAAATCAAAAGTCGAGCACCTAACTTATTTCTTGCTTTAATATGTTTTATAGGCCTAAACCAGTTAACAAAAAAATTAAAATAGTCCTTAGAGCCGTTTAAATATAAAGTTAGCAGAAATAATGAACTTTACGCTAACAGACTTTTAAAAGCTATCATGGAATATAACAGCAATCACATAATATATAATATATTATAACTTAATCTAGTATTAAATTTTAGTTTTTTATGAGTTGTTTGTGTTTAAAAAGTATGCGTAAATATTAAATATTAGAAAAGTCTACTAATGCATTTGTATTTTTGTTACATCTAACAAAGTAACCATTTTTCTATATTATTCCCAATAGTTTGCTTATATTTTCATCTTTTTGGATTTTTATTAAAAACGGCTGTAAGGATTATTTTAATTTTTTTGTCAAGTCCTATAAAACATATTAAAGCACGAAAAAAGTTAGGTGCCCGACTTTTGATTTAAAAGTGGTTCAGGCGTACCATGTTAAATGATTAAAATATTGTTAACATATATTAAAAATTTAATTATAAAAACTTTTTAAGAATAGTTTGATATATTAATAGTTTTAAATCTGTACACATTATTATTATTATTATATTATTATTATAAAAATCTTGTAATCATACCTTGAACATAAAATCCTCTTTATTGACACATTATCCCTTATCTATTATAATAAATATTAATTGTTATTGTAGCCAAACTAATAAAACAAACTCTCAGTTAGTTTGTGCTACTGAATGTGAATTGATTATAATCTGTGATTATAATTATTATAGAATCATATTATGTATATGGAATGTAAGTTACAATTTGTAACATATAAAATATATACATAAAAGCCTTAAGCCTCATATATACAAATATCTTACTAAAATAAGAGGGCGCTGGTGCTCTGTTGATTGATTTGTACCGAAACGCTACCAAAACAGCAGACGTCAAAAAACAAGACCCTATTTGTGCAATTTAGTGGGCAGGTTTTGTCAAATTATTATTATTATATTAAGTTTAGACCCCTTTTGCAGGCTCCATGGTAGTGCCCTTCAGGCAGATTTTTTACTTTATTAGGACTTAAAATAGCATTTGTTAATTTAATTTTAATTATTTTGTGGCAGAAATTGTGTATATGAATTTAATTTTTTTAAATGCACGGCAGTAACATCGATACAATTCCATACACCCTAGTAGCAATTTCGGAAAAGTCTTGGCCCAGCATGGGTCAAGATACTTTGGACAGATTTTTGCTCAAGAATTGTTCCAGATTCTTGGCCAAGATTATTGGGCAAGACTTGAGCCAGACTGTGGATGGAATTTGACAAGAATTTGACCAGAAATCTGAGGCCATCTATTGCTAAACTTTGGGACTATCCTATAGAGTAGAGGTTCTCATTCTACAGTAGTATCATTCACAATAATGTATACTAGTCGAGAAGTGAGTTCTCTGTAGGAAATGAGTATAGTTTTTTTGTTTATGTGAAAATACGAATAAGAGCTTATTGGATTCGTCTTCTAGCTGAGAAAAAAAATTTTGAAAAATAAAAATTGTTATTTCTAAAAATCAAAAATTAAAAAAAAGTGTGTGTCAGCTCTGACGCATAACTAGAGTTTGCTCTTTATGAACATGAAAGATTATAAAATACATGTTTATTTTTACGGGCACCTGGTTTTATTTAACATAGAAAATTAAAAACTTTAACTCTTTCAAAATTTGTTTCGTTTTTAATTCTATTGTTTACCAGATTTATGGATAAAAACCGAATATACTGGAAAGAAATCGTGGAAAATTAATGTTTTTAGTAACATTCTTAACTTTTGAAGTTCAACAAAATTTTGTATTGACCAAAAATCTTGAATTGAAAGTTCCTATTTAACGTGTAATCGTGTAAAAATTCTTGGTCAAGAATCTGGTCAAATTCTGGTCACAGACTTGTCCAAGTCTGCCACCAGTCTGGATAAAGAATTTTGATCAAGAGTCTTGGTCAAGAATTGTCCAATTCTTTACAAAGTGCTTCTCCAAGTATCTTGACAAAGAATCTTGTCCAATTCCATTGCTACTAGGGCAGCAATGACGTTGCGTTTGCTTCATTTAACAGTATTTACGAATATATACATAATATTATAGGGTGTCTGTTATTTCCCAAATTGTTTTTTTCTACTTGACCATACATTTTGTATATGAGGAGCAACTTTTTAAATCCTAAGTTGATCCTCATATAACCTAAAAATAATTTTAAAACAAAAATATTATAAATCACCAACAAATTGATATACAGCAATTCCCACTACATATTCTTTAGGAAATTTTGTTTCTTGAGTAAATTGGTCTGCTAAATTCGAATCTATATTTGGTCAACTTTTCGAGAAATTCTAACACAAAAGTGGAATGTCGCACGTTTTTTACAATATTTGTTATTTATATTTATAGATGGCAGATGCAAAGCGCTCATAAATGCTCATAAGCGCTCATAAATGCTAAAGCATTTATAAACGATGAAATATACATTTTATAAAAAAAAATTATTGAAATAAAATTCCAACAAAATAGAGCTAAGTAAACCATTTTGGAATTGGATAAACCTGCACAACTTTTGTGACTTGTACGTGTTCTACAGTAGTTATTTGTTGGTTAATTTATAACCCCGCTTTTTAGTTTTGGCGCCAAATTCAAATATCGAGCACTTTGGGAAATGCTCGACCATTTATTTATAAGCGCTCGAGCATTTATGAGCACTTATGAGCCCTTTTGAAAGTGCCCATCCTTCTCTATTTATATTACATTACAAGGTATTTTTCCTCCACAAAATCCATCTATCTAAAAAATTCAATTTTAATATCCTTTCTGCTATTCAATAAATAGTTAGTTTAAAGTATTATTCAAGCGTGTATTATGCTATATAATTTGTCAAGCTATTTAGATTTTTAATAGAAGTGAAAAATATTTTGTATTAAGGTTGGTCCGAGGGGTGGTCGGAAGGTTTTCCCGCCCGGCGCTTCTCAAAATGGTACTGTTTTGCATAATTTACGATTAGCCACACAAGTGATAATAAAGACTTTATTATATAACAGTAGATTCGTTAGAAAATGAAAAGGACCATTATTCGTTGATTGATGCATTTTTTGTAATACGGGTGAGACAAAATTACCCTTTTATAATAGAAAATGTCACGTATTCCATCACATTTTTCTCGTTTTCTCAGGATCTACTGGATGGAATTTAAAGTTTTTTTTTAAATTTTGTTGGCAATAAGTTGCTTTTTCGATGGTCGGTATCAAAACTCGGGTTTTGTAAATAAAACGAATTTACTCGACCAAATATTTTAAATGTTATTGCGAACAACTGAAAACCACCTGGATATGTCAAAATAATAAGCGCCGAGCGGGTAAACCTTCCGAAACCCCTTAATGGTGAATGCATATTTTGGGACTCATTTAGTTATTGATTACCATTTCAATTATTTGAACATTTATTTCGTTAAATATTTTTTAATTAAAGGCCATTAAACCCAAAACAGTGTTTTTTTGAATTTGTTAAACTAATATTAATATTTTCAAAGTATTGTGTATTATTTGTTTTTTATAATTAAATATTTATTTATTTTATAAAATAAAATGAAACTGCTGTATTTAAATTAAATAGATAAATCTAGCCAAATAAACTTTTTCTAGCGAAACAATGCGGGCCATTAAAAATTGTACTTGGAGACAAAAACATCAAATTTTAAATTGTAGACATAAATCTTGAATAAATATTAAAATTATAAGGGTTCTTAAACACTTTATAACGAGGCTCCTTTTTTGCAGACTCCCAAATCGAAAAAATCCAAGCTCGAGCAAGCGTCGTCGACCTCGTCGAAAAACGGCGTCGTCACAATGGAATGGGGAATTCCCGTGGTCGGTTACAGCAATTCGGACACGAGCAGTTCCTGCAACAGCTCGGACTACGATAGCGATCCTTGTCCCGTCGATCTGAACATCAAAAATGGCCCTGCGCAAAAACCCAGTCCAGAAAAAATCCACTTCTTGAATCATTTCGGACTGGCGACGCCTGGTCAAAAAGACTGTAAGTTAAAGTGTGTTTTTTATGAGATCGTGAATTTCTCGCTTTTATTAATAACAATTGGCAAAAAAGTTTCACAATCAAAAATTAAAAATGATTTTTTTCTTTTTCAGCTGTTGAGTTTAAAAAGTTGGAGACTCGGCATTGGCTTACGCCATGGACCGTCAGTAGAGAAAAGCAAAAAAAGAAAATTACACCACTGAAACTACCCGTGCCTTCTCATTCACCGTTAGTTTTAAACAAAACTAAGGACTATAATCTGAAGAAGGCATTCTTTAACACGCTAGAACTCACTTGGGTGTCGCCTGATGTCCAAAAAGGTAAATATTAAAATTTAATAATTAATTAATGTACAACTAAATTTTATTCTGCCTCTTAACAAATGCTTCTGGAGTATCTGCAGCGTCCGACCGCAGTGACCTGTACCATTTAGGAGATATTTTTAAGATGTGTAATTTTCTCTGCTCTACCATAATATTACCTGTTATCTACCTCCTAAAGTCGCCTCTTTCATTTTACCTCGTTCTTTTTACATGATGGTATAGGGGGGTCTATCAGAACTTTTTCTATATACAAGTAACTTATTTCCTATAATATCAAGTCTAAATGATACCTTTTTAAATATCCAGAGACGTTAACTGCCATGTGTATGAAAAATTATACACGCGAGTTGGGTCTAGTGCGCCATGTGTATGATTTTACACACGCACAATAAAATTATTTCAGCTATGTGTATGTGAATAGAGGATGCTGAACATGGGGTTTATATGTTAGAATGGTTGTTGTGGCCTGGATGTACACTGGTATTCACTTAGCCAAAATTTGTATTAACAATTTTTAAGATGGCAAACCCTTCATTCAAAAATATATATTGTCAAAAAATGAGCTAAAAGTTAATTATTTTTGAAGTCGATGATGAAAATGGAAAAAAGAATGTAATCCATTATTAATGATTTGACAGACAATATTTGTCAATATTTGTATAAAATGTGTATGTATTTCAATTTATACACGTGGCGCAAATGTACATTTTTGCAACCCTACGCCGCGGCGCGCCGCGTGTATATATACTCGCACGGGGGTAGAAGGGATCCCTTTTTCGAAAAATAATAAAAAAATGTGCTATTGTATTATAACACCGGTGGCATATTTTTATTAGGGATTAAATGATAAAAAACATTGTGGCCCAGCTGACCCCACTTGAAAAAAACTCACGGCAGTTAACGTGTTAAAAGATTCAACCCATCAGACCACATTACCACCTTGTAAGGCTCTTAAGCTGACTTAACTATTCAAAATACTCAGCTCTGGCGAAAGTAACTCACTTGAAAAAATTTCCATACACTGGTAAAAGATACACCCAGTAAGTTAACAAAATCGCAAAGTATTTTGAATACTGTACCCCCTGCAGACACCAGTATTTTTCCATTACATGGTTAAATTAAATAAAAAATAATTGGTTGCCTATCCTTCAGGAGTTTAACTTATCCTTTACCAGAGTATGTAATTTTTTTCAACACGCGTATATCTTTTGCCAGAGCTGGGTATGTTAAATAGTTGAGTCAGCTTTAGAGATTTACAAGGTGGTAATGTGGTCTAATGGGGTGGAGCTTTGAAAGGCGATGTGGGTAAACCACCCTGTCAAAGTGACCACAGTGAAAAGCAGTTTATACTTCTTTTACAGGTCTTTTTCTCTTTTTCTCTGGATGTTAAAGAGGGAATGATTAAGCCTGAAGGTAGTAGAAAGTAAGTTACTTATATTGAGAAAAGGTTCTGATATAATATAACATGGAATGTTATCATAGAGCATAGATTACAAAAAAATTCTCCTGAATGGTAGGGGTCATTGCATTTGGACTCTACAGGTACTCCAGAAGCATAAGCGTATTCTGGGGACCCAGGGGAAACTCGTGGTTGTAAAACACTATAAAGGATCCTTGTCAACATGGAAAATATTGGCAGACCTTTTTAATAAGTTTTTGAAAGGTTTTTGGAGCCTAAGAGTAACCTATGTACCATCTGGCCACTATAAGTTGGCGGAGCAAAGGAATGTGCATGCAGTTAAGATAATGAATATTAAAAAACTTACCTACTTACTATTATTTATATACATAAAATATATATTCTTTTTATTTATAATATAAAAAATACCTTTTAAAAGCACACAACATGACAATTGTTTAATAACTTAATTCATTCAGTCCGCCAACTTATCGTGGACAGACGTGTATTATAAAAAATGATATTTTTAAAGTTTTTTTTTTAAATCTTCTAAATCACTTTTTTGACATGAGGTTTGTTGGAATTAAATTGTTTTTTCCTGAAAGTATACCTATTTAATAGTAAATCCCTTGCAGGGTTTGTAAAAGTTAGCTCAAATTTTGTTCCATGGTCTTATAAAGTTTTTGAGTTTAAGGTACTAATAATTATTGTAAATTGACACCTGAAATTTCGCTTAAAAATTAAATATTTTAGGCAAGTAGTTGATGTTTTTCATTCTGATTCTTTATATTTTTAAAATAATTTATTTTTTTAAACAATTGATGCAATTAAATTTAGTTTTAAGTCAAGTGTTCATAAAATTGCATTTTTTACTTTTTCTTTGGCCCAACTAACTTAATATTTACTTCATATTTAATTTTGTTTGCAAAAATGAGTTTTGAAGTCTAAGCTGGCCATACATACCATACTTAGCAAACACAATGTTGCCAACTTGTTGATTTTTTTCTAGTTCTATAGATTTTTATGACTGTCGGAATTTTTAAAACACTCATTTTAAGTTATTTAAATAAAAACAATTATATATTGTATTGTATAATTATTTATAAAACTTTTTAATGTAAAAAAAACAACAAAGTTGAATTTCAATAGTTTAAATTTACATTTTTTAAAATTAATATTTTAATTTGGAAAATTTTAAAAATGTAATAAAGGTAGCTTAATTAAGTTAATTACAAAAAATATTGACGTTTAATAACGCCAGCAATACATAGGCGACTTAATAATTATAAAAAAGGCAACATTTCGAATATTGAACTCAAAAATAAAGATTTTTATAAAACAAAAATTTAACTTTTTTAAAACATAATTATATATTTTTTTAAATAAAAGTTGCATTTATTCCCTAAGACAACTTTGCCAAAAGAAACAATTTGTAAGCAAAATTTGACATACATGTATGCATACTAGGGTTCGCAATCTCGAAGAGAAAATATAATCCCGGGATTATGATATCGATATTTAACAGAAAAATGAGTTCATTAAGGGTATTATCCCCAAGTCGGGATCTAAATTTTGTACATAGAGTTTCTGCTGCCGAAAACGCCCTTTCCGACTCCACACTAGTGGGGACATTAAGAAATCACATTTCAGTTTGAGGAATGCATCCCTGCTTCCGCCATTTTCAAAAAGCGACATTTCTTTTTTTAGAGTTAATGTTACCGAATCGGTTTGAGGGTGCATTTTTATTGGGTTCATTGCGTGTTTTGTCAATGATTTAAAAAAATTGTTTGTTTTAATTTGAGGCTGGAGTAGAAGCATGGCTAAAAGATAAATTTTATCATCGTCATTGTCTTAAGTTTTTTAAGCATTTCCCTAATATTTTTTTTGTATAGAATATCGAACAGAGCATCTGATTCTTTATAATTGGGATTGTGCAAATAGCGGATAATACCTGAGCAATAACTTCTGCGGTGAGCAATCCTTACCCTTAGGGCTTCATATAAGTTGGCACTTAGGGATGTGTTCAACATAAATTTAAATACTAAAAATACCGGGATCATGATTTGTGATGCCGGTATTTTCGGTATTGAAAAACAGACGAGATCCCGGTATTTTCGGTTTTGGGATTTCGGGATTGCGAACCCTAATGCATACCTATGTATATTAATTTACAATAAATTACCCAAAGCTCAAAAATTTCATAAGGTCATAAAAAAAATTTGAGCTAACCCAGTAAGGGTTTTATTATTAAATAATAGTAATACTTTGAGAGAAAATCAGTAAAATCCTTCTTTCATTCACCTGAATTGCTTAAAAATAATAAAATATAACCTGATGGGAGCATAATTTTTTTTTTGTATTTTATTTAAATTGAAGAAAATATAAAACTTAAATAATCTGTTATTGTTAAATGTATAATTCTAACGTGTGTTTAAAAATACTACTAAAAATTTACAAAAACAGAACATTTTTCTCTTTTCCTGTAAAATTTTTTATTTTGGCCAAAACTCCTATTCGAATTGATGCCCTAGATATATTAATGAGTTAAACTTTTATAATTTAAAAAAATATATCTTGTTTGTCAAAATGAGATTCATAAAAATGAAATAATAAATAAATCACATTTAAAAGCAACTATTTCTCTTTTTTCTCGAGAATTTGAGCAGACCTGGGTGAAAGTGATTCACGACCGCATGAAGAGGGACTGCGACTCGGCGCTGACGAAGTATAGCATCCAAGCGTACCGCAAGAGACAATGCAGCATTTTGAAGCCGGTCGAGCTGAAAAATATCTCATCCAAACCACAGAGGCAACCGCAGGACGCGCTCGCTTTGATGCCCATTGTGCATCAGTACGCGCATCTGAAAATGTAACAAAACAAAAAAGAGAAAGCGATTGTTCACGGCAAAAACGCAGCGGATTCGAAGAAAAATCCTCCGGCTCCTAAACAAGGCGGCGATCGTACTTACATTGTCTATATCGATAAGACTGCTGACAAAAACTAATTTTTAATGTAGGTATGTATGTATACTTTTTTAATAATTTGAATACTTTTGGTTGTAAAAATAAGTGTCTAAAGGATTACTTCATCTTTAGGCATTGTAACTATTTATTGTTGAATTTTCTTGAATTTTTTGTGATTAATTTATTGTAAGGTCTTATAGATAGGACTCAAATGTTTATACACAAAACTATACCTAAGAAAGATATTAAATTTACATACTATGACCAAAATGAAAATGATCGTGTTGCATTTGATGGATTTACTTAAAATTTCGTTCCATTTATTGTATTTTATTTCACGGTCGAGTAAGTGTTGGTAGGTTTTACATCTAAAAAATGAGTACATATTGTATTTTTATGTATATGAATGTCATTATAAACATGTTCATCAAATTTTAAAGAGCAAATCTCTAAAATTTGATTTAAACATTATTCATGCAATGCTAATCAAAATTAACGCATTTTGTCGTTTTTTATTTTGTTACTTTGCATGCGTTTATTTTGATTTGCAGTGTATTTTCTATTGCTATAAAAATATTCTGCTGTGTAATATCAATATCACCCAAAGTTTGTTGACGATTTTTGAATTATGGCAAACATTTTTTGTTACTATTAATTTTTTACTGGACCAATTATGGCTTAAGTTAAATTTATACAATGAATCAAACTATTTCGTATATTTTTTTGGATTTGGATGGAGTATAGAATGAAATATAAAAAGACTGTGATGGGAAGTATGGTGGATTTTATTATATTGTATAGTATTACTGTAAAGCTTCCAAAACTACCAAGGTAATTAATTATTTTTAATTTATTATGTTTAAGTAACAATTATTCGAATGATTATCAATTATTATTAACTTAAACCGAATTTAAATGTTAATTATGTTATTTGGTTTCCTTTTTTTTAATTATTTTTACGGGTGTTCTTAGTAAGATAGGAGAGAGTGGTGTTCACTGATTCTGTGATAAATACAATTTTAGTAACCTTGACGTAACACTGTTTCTAGCATGACAAACTTAATAAATGTACAGAACAATTTAAACAATGATTTTTTATTAATTTTTCCCCAAAAAACCCAAAACATTAATTATACAGGTAAAGTAAAGAAAAAGTAATAAAAACAAATATATTAAAAAAATTATAACATTATTTGGTACTTAAGCGACTTTTTAACCCTTGAAATAAGCAATCTGCCATCATAACTTAAAGAAGCAAAAACCCATGGCTCTGATGGTGACCATTCTGCACAATAAACACTATCTTCATGTTCACACCACTGCAGGGGACCATCAGAGAGCCTTAAAACAAATAAATATAATATTTTATATGCTCAGACTTTCTTAAAACTTACATTTGCTTAGTTTCTATGCCTTCTCCATTATCTAACAAACACATATCGTTATTATTCTCAGAACTGACACTTGCAGCACTGGACAGTAAAACTCTGGCATCAGAACTGGCAGTCAATAGCAATTGATCATGGAAATGGTTAAATCTTACAGACCAAACCCTAAAAATATAAAAATCAAATTAATTAATTTGACCAGAGATAAAGAAGGTTGCCACATACATATATGCAATCAGCGACAACGTCAGAATAAAAAAATTAAAATCCCGGTCCTTAATTTCTTGTGACGGTTAATTCGCAAAATGCTTTAAAACACGTAAATGTATAATACTATTTTAAAACCTACTTTCATTGTTATATACTTTTTTCAGAAAGAATTTCATAATTTTTCCGGTTTTTTTGCCAGCTCAATTTTTTAGAAAATTTTAAAACATTACATATAGCCTTTATGATATAGGTAGCTGCAATCTAAAGGTATATTTCCAGTTTCAATCCGAAGAATCGCGAAGAGATACTATTTTGAGAATAATGAAGCAAAACAACCAAGTTTTCCACTTCAAAAAGGTAATTTTTATTGTTTTTAACAATGAAAATTATTTTTTCTCCTTTATTAATTAATTTTGTACATTTTTGTTAAAAATTGTGTGAGAAAGAATAATAATACTCTTTTCGTTTAAATTAAAGTTTATTTACTATTAAAAATATAAAGAGATTAATATAATTATATAACAAATTAATAGAGAACGTGTGTCGAGTAAAGGGTGAACTCTGACTGCCTTTTCAGAATGTTCCTCGTCGTGCCTGTGCCTCTCAGGGAAGATAGATAAATTCCTAAAAGCCACCTGCATAAACAAACAAATGTCTAGCCTGGCGCTTAACGGGATCGACTCCCACGATCGCTCTTGAGTCGTCTCAAATTTCGTTACAGTCGGCCATGCTACCCCTTTTTCCGTCCTCGGAAAATATTCGTTTAATCCTATGGAAAATGTCAAATTACTAAAAGATTACATTGCGTAATTTATTGTGGGTTCAACATCCATGAACAAATAAATTAAACCAAAATAAACAAATCATAGCCTTTTTGCTACATACTAAATTACATTTCTTTTTAACCGAAATTTGTCATGAACGGATCCCAATAAATTTTATGTCACATTATGTATTTGTGTGTTTGCTTTACCAAAAACCCAGAAAAACAACACTATTCGGTTCTCACGTCAGAACTCAAACAATGAAGGCCCTGAATTCTTTGTAAAGCAAACTAAGCTCTTATTCATTCTTAAATTCTACGTCAGAATTTAAGTCTGAATCGTTTTTACTACAATCGTGCGTAGTGTAGAGCTTCGTCTTGTCTGCAGCATAAATTACGTTTTACTCACTCACGAGTTCTACGTCAGAACCTGAGTTTGAGTCGTCACTACTACAATCGTGCGTAGCAATGTATGGCTTTAATTTATCTGCAGGACATACACCCTGATACTTTTTCCGTGCTCGTCGTGTGCCCGGTAAATCGTTTATCAGGTACCTATCGTGATTAAGTACTTTGGTCACAACGTATGGACCGCTGTATTTAGGTAGCAGTTTCTTACTTTTACCCTCGTTAGTAAAAGCATTCCTTCGTAGGAGTACCTGCTCACCTACGTCGTATACAATAGGCTTTTTACGTTTAGCATCGTAATATGCTTTTTGCTTTGACTGTGCAGCCGTTATCCGTCGTGTAGCTTCTTCTCTAACCGTACTCATATCGTGGTCAACATTTTCGTTCTGTTCGACTTCATGAGCCAGAAATGCGTCGTGGATTCCCTTAGGTTTATACCCGAAAAGAAGCTCGTGTGGGCTTTTACCCGTAACGCTCTGCACTGCCGCATTAATTCCAAAACGTATGGAACCAATGACGTCATCCCACTTCCTCTCGTCGTCAGCCGTCGCTGACAGGGAAGTCAGGATCGTACGGTTGTATCTTTCAACCTGCCCGTTGGCTCTAGGTGTTGCTGTTGCGTTTAGCACTACCTGTATTCCAAGACGTTTCGTGTAGTCTTGAAAAAGTTTACTCGTATAACAAGTCCCTCTATCACATATTATTCTATGAGGCACCCCAAAAGTGGTAAATGTTTCATCACAAAATTTTATTACAGGAGCCGTTTTTGTTGATGATACTGCCTTTGTCCATAAATATTTCGTAAAGCCATCCACTGCAACTATTAGGTAACTGTTTCCTTTGCTACTTTTTACAAAAGGTCCCAGATGGTCAATATGAATGGTGTGCATTGGTTGTGGTACTTTCTCAATGGGGTGTAGTAAACCTTCTTGTTTTCCCGCAGGTACTTTATTATATAAACATCCCAAACAACAAGTTATATACCGTTTAATGTACTTTCGCATTCTCGGGAACCAATAACACTCGCTCATAGCTTTAAGGGTCTTATCTGTAGCCAGATGTCCTCGTTTATCGTGGTAATATGACACTAAAATACGGCGAGCCCTTTTTGGCACGTACCATCGTAACCCTCGGTCAGTGACCTTATAAAGTCGTTCGTTTTTAATCGCATATTCTTTATGTACGTACTTGTCGTTTGCATCGATTGGCTTTTTAGATAAAATTTCAACCAGTGATTTGCATTGTTCATCCTGTAACTGTGCTGATAAAATCCAATCATCTTCCGTAATGTTTACTTCAAGAATACTTATTATTTCAGGTAAAACTGCGTTTTCTTCTACCGGATTCCTGCTAAGGGCATCTACATGACTCATTTTCGTACCCGGTCGATATTCTACAATAAAATTAAACTCTTGGACGGCTAACCACCATCTTGCAATACGCGGAATTAAGTCTCGTTTAGACATAGCTGTGCGAAGTGCATTACAATCTGTAACCACTTTAAATTCGGCTTTTCGTGGGCCCTTTTGTCTACCAGGTCATGTTTTGATGAAAAATGTGAGGGCCTTTTATCTGGTTTGAACGCTTTTTCGTCAGGTAAAGCGGACAAATACTCTCGGTACAAGTCCTCAGGGATGCTGTAGCGGCCTGCTTTTGCTCCTGCTTGAATGGCAGGGTCGTGAATGCCATCGATGAGCATAGCAACAGCATTCTTTCCCGCTATATCACATTGGCGTAGTAACTGCATTTTCTCGAAATAATATTCTGTCCATTTTTCGTTACTGGACTTGTGTCTAGCTATTACCGACTTAAGTGTGGATGGAAAATCTTGGTGATCAGGAAATGCATTAATTAAAAGATTTTTCCATTCAACCCAGGTGTAATCATAAAAATCTAAATTATGATACCACGTCTGTGCTAAACCTTTCAGCCTGGTCTGCATGTGATAAATTTGTGTAGCTTCGTTCCAACGATTGACCGATGCTAATTGTTCTATTTTGCCCAACCACTTAGCACAACTTGTATTGGGCTTACCTGGGATAAATTCCGGTATGCAGTCAGCTCTTATAGTGACATGTGACGTGCGATCCTTTTCCAAAAGTTTCATGACCATATTTTCAAGTACTTTAATACGTTCCTTGTCAACTGATTCTACAGCGGAACTACTGCTTTGCGTATCGTCTACGACTGCAGCCTGAACCTGAGTAGAAATAGGTTGAGGTGAAACTACGGAACTACTGTTTTGCGTAACGTCTACGTCTACAGCCTGAACCGGCGTGGAACAACTTTGCGGAGCATTCATAGCATTAGATTTTCGCGTAACATCTATAACTACGCTTTGCACCTGTGGAGTATGTCGCCCTCGACGGGTCGCCCTCCTGCTTCTACGTCTATAGCGACCAGCATCGTTATTATCACTATCTGACCGTGCGGAACCACTACTTGAAGTACTCGTCGTACTAGGACTACGACGACTATGCCTGCGTTTTCCCATTGTTTTCAAAATGCACACACTAAGTACAAATCACTAAACTAATCGTAATCCAAAAACTTGCAGCACTTAAACAAATGCACATAGACACAGTACAAACTAATGTTTTCGTTAATTAGGCACTTATAAACGAATATCACAATCTCCTACGAAAAACCGTGAACACTATCCCGCCGCTGCTCTGTGAGAAAGAATAATAATACTCTTTTCGTTTAAATTAAAGTCTATTTACTATTAAAAATATAAAGAGATTAATATAATTATATAACAAATTAATAGAGAACGTGTGTCGAGTAAAGGGTGAACTCTGACTGCCTTTTCAGAATGTTCCTCGTCGTGCCTGTGCCTCTCAGGGAAGATAGATAAATTCCTAAAAGCCACCTGCATAAACAAACAAATGTCTAGCCTGGCGCTTAACGGGATCGACTCCCACGATCGCTCTTGAGTCGTCTCAAATTTCGTTACAATTGTAATAAGTTTTACAAAAAAATTAAGTTACCTACTAAAAAAATATTATAAATTGCATTTTCATTTATTTTGGGGCATTTCAAATACGTTTTTTAATATTATTGTTTTTTTGTTTGTGTAAATTTAAAATTATTACTTATATTACTTTAGGGATGTATAGTGCCCAAATTAATTAACAATGTAGGTATTAAGGTAAGTTTACTGAAATCAACTTGTTTTGGTATAAGGACACTGCACTTGAGCTATGCCTTAACACTTTCGCTCACGAATTATGGTTTGCAGAGATAAAAATCTAACTTAACACAAAACAATAAATATAATTATTTGCTATTATTTGGTCCCTCATTTTTTTTTTTGCTAAAATTAGGAAATGAGGACGTGAGAAAATGGATAAAAATTCAGTCAAGTAGATACAAAAGATTGTAGAAAACGACGTACTAAATTTAGTACGCCATAAGCGAAAGGGTTAATATACAGGGTGTTCCAAAAATAGTGTTTAATACTCATTTGGGTCCCTAAAGACAAAAATAAGAAGAAACCTTCTTATAAATATAGGTCGTCAAATGGCCCCTAAGAGAGCTGCAGCCTCTTAACACGTTCAGGGGCGCCCCTGAAGATGTATTTTTATTATTTTTTGGGATAAAATAATAAAATTTTGTTCTGAATTTATAATAGCAACAAAATTAAATTTTTTTATTACAAGGGTATTTTTGTGTATTAATGTAATTTTTGCAATTTGGCTGCTTGTTGAACATCGATAACATGCACCATTTTCAAGTATTAAACACTATTTTTGAGACCCTGCATGGTAAAATATTCATTAATTCATTTTGTTATTTATTTTTCACTTTTTCTTTTAATTAGGAATAAGTGTAGAAACGTTTGCTTACCAATGGGAATGGTCACTTCTGGAATACATTGGATGATTTGTCTGTCTAAAATCCCATATTTTTACAAAACCGTCATCCCCACATGTTGCTACATAATACTGTTTATTCATATTATAATCCAAATCTCTTACCAGTTGATTGTGAATCCCATCAATGTTCCATGCTATTTCACCTGTTCTTATATCATAGGTTTTTAAATGGGTCTCTGTTACAGTTGTAAACTAAAAATAAATTTACGTTATAAACAAATAAATAACATTCATAATAAAAAAATGCGTTTTTGACTAATTTTGTTCAACAAAAGTTATCTGTTTTGTTTCTAAAGTAGGTTTTAATAGTATATTTTTCAAAACAAATACTTTAGCTGGACTGCATCTTGTATGCTTGACAAATGTGGATGCCGTCAGAATCCATACACATTTGTTCGGGTTCACGAAATTAACGGTTTTGCGTTCGGATTTTTTTAGAACCAGTTCGGAATTAGTAAATACGGTGTTTTTTTTGTTGACAATGGTTTTTTATTTGACGATTTTAATTGTCCAAATTAGGACAGAACCGTTCAAACTCATGGTACTAAGACAACAAGGTATGTCCACGTGCATCTTTATGTCCCTTCTCTGTTTATCCTCTGATGTGGAGCAATCAGACAAATATCAGACAGATAAATACGGTTTTGTTAAAAAATGACTTAGATATGAACTAAGAGTAAATGAGGTAAGATTAATCCATTGGTGAACTCAGAATTGAGCTAAACGAAGTAATTGATATAGAATGCCGGTCTTGAAACCTAGCAAATTAAGCAAAAAGAGATAATTCCAATTTAATACAATTTAAATTCTTGTTTCAATGAAAATAAGATACATTCACATTATTTTTATTTTAAATTAACTTAAATGGCATTAACATTTTTCAGATTAATCCTGCATAGGTCAATGGATAAAACGGTTTTTTTTTATTCCTATTTCAAGCAAATGGAAATAAATAAAAAAACACATGATACAGGGGAACAAAAAATAAAAAATGAGTTTTCAGGTCTTAAAACACCATACTCTATATACGAGAATACGTAGAATACATGGTTTATTCTTTGTGTAAATGTTGCAACGAAAAATGTTAGTTTTTTGCTGATAACTCAAAACTGCTTAAAAAAGGATTTATCTCCACAATTATGCCCTAATATGACTTTTGGTTTAATTTCTTTGTAAACAGTGTTTTGTATGTGGTAAATCATTTATGTGGATATTTTTCGTCTATTTTTTGGTATCTTAATATTATAAGCAATGCATTAAAAATAGGACAAAACTATCTTCAAAATTTAAATGATCTATCCAAGAAAGTAGATTTATCTAATGAAGCAAAAAACTTTTTTTTAGATGCAAAATGTAAAATATTTAGATTTTTATTTTATACCAATTTACATTTTAATAATATTTAAAAATTAAATAAATATATTGTGTAAAGTAACTGTTTCTTATTTTTTATTTGAATTCTTAAATGGAACAGATATAAGATTGCGTAAAATTACTGTTTTTAATTATTTCAATTTATATTGGTAATATGTAAAAACTAAATAAATATATTATGTTGTGTAAAGTAACTAACTTTTTTAAATTTTTATTTTAAAATATGAAGCGCCGCAATGATAAAAAACTTTTTAATGCACGTAGGAAATAAATTTCGTATAATATAAATATACCACGTTATAGTAAATATTTTCTGTATAAAAATATTTCTCCCACAATAAAATTTTTCTCACAAAAATATTTTTCACATAAAAACTATTCCTCCCGCAAAAATATTTCTCCCATAAAAAAAACTTTCTTACAATACAAATCTTTCTTCCACAAAAAGAAACATTTTTCTCACAAAAATATTTTTTCCCACAAAAACTATTTCTCCCGCAAAAATATTCCTTCCACAACAGGAAACATTTTTCTCACAAAAATATTTTTCCCACAAAAATATTTCTTCCTTTAAACAAACCTCCTCACAAAAAAATCTTTCATAAATTATAAAAATATTTTTCTACTCCTATTACGGAATTTGACCCTTCTAATATCACTTTTATCTATGGAATGACATATATTCCGTAAAGTGAAATATTCTATCATCTGATGACAGAATAAACACTCGTGGCGACATCTCTGTTTTTAATATCTAACAAATTTTAGACCGATCCAACCTCACTTTCTTCCAATTAAATTATTTTTCTATGGTATTTTTTGGAAACGTAGAAAAGGTAAAGTCTGAAACACATTTGGAATTGCATATGAATATGCGTATTCCAAACTTGTTACAGAATATACAATTACACCTATTTTTGGATATAACCATTAAGGTATCTAAGATAGTGTATCTTTATGGCACAAAATAATACATATCTAAGTAAGACCTCATACAAAAGGATGCTTAATAGTTTTAAGATCATATTATTTTCAGACAGAAGAAAACAACAATTTTATGAGTTACTAAACGACTAAAATTGTTTAGGTTAGATTACAATTACCATTGATTGTTGTTTAATAATTAAACTTTAATTGTTATTTTTGTTATTAGTACTTTAAGTTACCTTTACATGTAATTACCATGCATTTGGTTTTTGTTCCAGCCTTGCAATAAATAAGTAAATAAATAGGGTAGTTAAAAATTTTAAGCATTAAAATTTAAATGGCAGTTGCATCAAGCATCAAGATACACTCACCTGGATAAAAATAGATTGCCAAAAAAATATTGAAATATTTATAAAAAAAAACATTTAAATATTTAAATTGATAATTGAATAAAAAGTATAGGTAGGTACTTTTTATTTAATTATCAATTATCATATACCTATGAGTAAATTTAAAAGTTATCTTCTTAAGATTGAGAGTTTAGTGAAAATCGAACCAAAAAATTTAGTGAAAATCCAATAAAAAAAAGTAATTTCAGTCTCCTCAAGGAGATTTACCTGATTACAATTTTGATGTGGGTTCCATTTCCCTGTGGTAAACTTGGGATTATTTTTTGCTTTTAAATTTACATTCCAAACATCCTTTCCACTTTCCTCCGAAATATCCCACAACACCAAATTATTCTCTGTAACTGTCATAGCCCTGTTTGGATCTGTGGGATGAAACTCTGTGGTTTTTACTTCTATCCCAAAATTTTCCGTATCCAATTTGGTAACCACTTCCAAATTATCAATGGAATCAGGATTCTTTTCCTCTGGAAGTTTCAGAATTGCTGTTTTCATCATACAGCTGCTTATACTTGCTACAGAATTGTAGCATGTTGCTAGTTTCAGGGCATCGACAGGACTGGTGGTAATCTTCCATATTTCACCCTCTGAATGGTGAAATACCTGGAAATTAAAAATAAATGTAAATTGGAAGTTGGGAAAGTTTTTACAGCATATATTTAGTTAATAATTTTATTGGAATGTTTTTTGTTATTTATTCTAGCTATGTTCACCTGAGTTTAATCAAGCAGTTCTCGTTAGTTCTGGAATTATTTGCATGCGCAATAACAATGCAATAACCCATTCTAAAACATTATTTTTATTGAACAAGCAAAAAGTTGTAGAATTAAACAAGAATTACTTGATCAAAAAATTTAGTTTTTGTAAATATTACATGTTTTTAAGAAAATTAAAATATGTCAAACTTTTACTCTAAATAAACCTTCTGCAAAAAAATATAAATATAAATGTTTATAAAAAATTGTTTAATTTGTGCAAATCAAGTGATGATAATTAATACATTTATTTTAAATGGCCATATTCATACATTGGTTTTAATTGTAGAAATTTCCTCATTAAACTCTACCAAATGTATTTGGTTGTTAGTTTGCTTTAAAGATTGTGTTCCTATTATAAATCTAATTTGTTCAGTTTCTGCCAATTGTGGAGCAAGCGCTCTTGCCTAAAAATATTTTGTTTATATATAGAATTTATTAATTTTAATGTAAAAACCTGAAATTCCAGGCCGTATATCACAGAATTTTCATCCATCCTGTAATTATTACAGGACCTGTATTGTTTACAAAATATTGACAGCTGTCACTAGAGACAAGTCTCTGGCTGTCACCTTAACGTCAAAAACCAATGTTGCCAGTTACACACCTATTTCAGTGTTGCCAATGTATAATTAATAAAAACCAAGTATTTATAGCAAATTAATTTTTATCATAGAAAACATATACCTATAAGTTATAGGTATATGATAGAAAAAGAATATTTTTACTGCTTGTTATTAATTTTATCTACTCCTACATTGACGAGCTGTGACTTGATGGCGTTTTAGTCACGGGCTGAAGTTAGCAACAGTGGCTTTTGGGCATTTAGTCACGTGCTGAAGACACTCGTTTTTATTAAACACTCGCTCGCAAGCTTCGATCGTGCCTAATAAAACTTGTAACTAAAATGGCGTTTATAAAACTTGATACATAAAATAATATTACGCACGGTCTTATAGTATTGTAATATTGTATAAGACCATGATTTTACGAAATTGTGGTTTTAAATAGAAAATAATTATTCCTTTCACATTTTATTGCTCTTTAATAACATTACATTCTGTGCAAGGGCAGATTTATTTAATTAGAAAGAATATTTACAGGAGAAAAAATAACACAGAAAAAAATAAGAACAAATAAATTTATTACATTAAAACTGCTATATTACTCTAAGCACAGTGTCTATTTAAACTGCGGACTTGTGGACCAAGTTGAACCAGTGTCCGCATTCACATCTTCTGGGTTCACCTTTGTGGAGCCACATCCAGTTAATGCAAGTGGCTTCCTCTTCGCATATACATCCAACTAAACGGGCATCAAAAGCAGATGGAATTTCATTAGGACTGACTTTGGTTCCAGCAGCACGTTTAATTACTTTTAAATCAAAGGGATTCTCATTACCTCCAACTTTAGCAAGAATTTCTCTCTTTTCAAGACCTGTTGCGTGTTCAACTGGGTCTCCCATAGAAGTTCCTAAAAAATATGAGGTTAGGATTGTCATAAATTTTACAGAAAAAAATGAACATCAAATATGTTTTAATTGGTAAGAAAGACATTTGTTAAGGCTAGAAAAACAAACTTAAAAAAAAAAACAACATTAAACAAATTTTTGTGAAGGTTTATAGAAATTACGTAATGTCGTATTTTCCTCGAGAAGAGGGCAAAAATAAGGAAAATTAGGCACGGGATTGTGCACCAGGTGATTTTACCTTTGGAAGTGTAGCGTAAACTCGAACATAATACATTTTTTCTTACTGAAGAAGAGATAATTCTTCCACACAACGAAGCCATTTTTTTCGATTTTTCGACGAAGTGCGGAGGACAATTTTCGATACTAATTTATGAGAATGTTGCAAGAGGTCGCCACACTTCAAAAACGAATTTCCACAGGAAAATTAATATTTTAATGCCAAAAAGCCTTCCTTTATTATTAAAATTGTAACAAAATATTTAAAAAAGTCAATAAAATTCATTAAAAAAGCTGTTTTAAAATTTAAAAATATTATCTAGGGGAATTTGGTAAAAAAAAACTGTAGTGGCAGCTCTCTGAATTTTAGAGGTTGCGCAGTTGGCAATTCCTTCCCTTTTTTAATCCGATTGACAAGGTACACGTTTCGTTTGTGTCTTCCAATAATTTTTCGTTATTTTTAAGTATATCTGGGTGCAATTTGTTAAAACTGAGAGAAGTAATGGCATTTATAGTGATTTAAGAACCATATACGTCGTTTTCGCTAACCGATGGATTCAATTTGTCAGTGATAATTTGTGATTTAACCGAGAGGCTAACATTCGAGTTCTTAAGTTTTACAGTGTATATTTAGTTTAAATTAAATAAGATCACAGTATGTTAACTATATAAGCTTTTTTAAACTAATTGTACTCAGACCTGCTTAATTTTATAGAGAGTTTCACGTATTAAAAACAATATTGTAAACTTAACCTTGTTTATGTTTTATGTGTTCGGGGGTTCTTAACTTTTCTTTTATGTTTTAGATGTCGGCCAAAATAATAAAAGCAGGAGGCGCAGAGCCCGATGCGTTCGAAAACCAGGTTGCTCAAGCCCTGCTTGAGTTGGAAGTAAATTCCGACTTGAAGGCACAACTTAGAGAATTACACATAACTAAAGCCAGAGAAATCGAGCTTAACAACAAAAAAGTAAGTAACTAAGTTATTAAATGTATTTTTTTAACAGGTTGACTGCTAAGCAGATTTTTGTCTGCCATTATGTGTTTTGTGAACACAGTATGTGCTCAGCGTTTATTGTAAACCTATTTGGTAAGCAGCATTACAAGTCTTTTTGGACCAAAGTTTTAGCCACAGTCTGTTTTAAGTAAACATTTTATTTCAAAATTAAGTTTTAAAATAATCTTCCTCCACTTTGTATTCTTTAAATTTAAGGTCTAAACATTGGGAATAAAATCAATGGTTTTCTTAAGAAACTCTAGGCTTCATAAAAATGCTATTAAATTCCTTTTATAAACATATCATTTTCCATTTCTAAATCAAGTGCTGCACTTTTTTCACACTCAGTTTTTAAACACAAGGTCAATGCAGTGAAATTTTGGCACTGGCACATAGGTATAGAATGAACCATACTGTTTTTGTGGGAAATCTTAAGGGTTTAATTATTAATGAATAAATTAAAGAAAAAAATACCATTTTATTATTTACTGCTATAATTAAATGAACACCGTAAAATAATATATTTATAATTTGTCATTATAAATAGTTTTTTTACTTTCGAAATTATATTCCTAGTGGATGCCATTGCTGTTATTTCTTTCTCATTACTGCTGTTGGTGGAATATAAACAATATAGGGTGTAAATTATCCTTGCATTTTTATCTTTTTATCAGCCATTGTTGTTTTGAACTGAACCAACAACAGCTCTTAAAGCTTGTGCCAAAAAGTTTTAAGAATGGAAAATGCTTGAAGATTATATAGCTAATTAACATGTAGAGGAAATGCATACTTGCAGTATCTTGTGACCAAAATTGTATTACATTTTTAAATCCATTTCATTTAATTAATTTTTGTATTTGTTCAAATTAATAACATGCCCAATTTTGTCTATTTTTGTTAACATATGGCCATTTTCCAAAATTTAAGTGGAATGGGAATTCTATGGCATTGTTCTTAAATAAAGAACAATTTTGGGGTTGTACATTATTTAAGTTGCTTTGTTTTGTTTACATGATGATTATTCTTAGGACACCTAAAGATGTTCCATGATTAGAATTAGTTTAAGCACTGAAAAATGTAATGAAATTTGTTAGTCTTTTTCTAATTTTATGGAGATGTAAAGTATGTTTTTTCTTTTAGTCCGTAATTATTTATGTGCCGATGCCCAAACTGAAACAATTCCAAAAGGTTCAGACCAGGCTGGTCCGTGAGTTGGAAAAGAAGTTTAGCGGAAAGCATGTAGTGTTTGTTGGTGAGAGGAAAATTCTTCCTAAGCCAACCCGTAAGACCCGTGCAAAGAACAAGCAGAAGCGTCCACGTTCCCGTACTTTGACTGCTGTGTATGATGACATCTTGGAAGATCTTGTCTATCCAGCCGAAATTGTTGGCAAAAGGATTCGCGTTAAGTTGGATGGTTCCCAGCTCATCAAAGTACATCTTGACAAAAATCAACAAACAACCATTGAACACAAGGTAAGAATATTTGCATTTTTTAAGGTTTGGTTATTTTTCACATGATGAATATACTTAGGACACCTAAAGATGTTACCTGATTAAAAAAATAGTTATAAGTCTGAAGTAATATTGTTTTATCTAAAATATTTTGTTACTTTAAGTGGTTCTAAAATTTTGTAATTCTTTGCAGGTTGACACCTTTGCTTCTGTGTACAAGAAATTGACAGGAAGGGAAGTTACTTTTGAATTTCCTGAACCTTATTTGTAATTATATACCACGATTATATAATAAAATAATTTGACAAAAAAAAACTGAAAACCGTGTTTTAACAATACCCATATTCCATTTTTTATTTGCAGTTTTATTTTCTTACTATTTAAAAATTTTGATGTATTGTTTACTGAAAGGAAAGTGCAGTGCTCACTTTGAAAGTTCTTGTTTATCCATTAAGACATGGTTCCAAGATAGTCAAAGTATGTAAAAGTACATCAAACTATTGATTACCAGGTAATTATTAACCCTGATTAAAGAATTTATTTTTTTAAATTTATAGATAAACTTTATTTTTCTGTGTTTCTAATATACTGTATGGCATTACAGGTTGTGTACAAGAAATTGACAGAAAGAAAGTAACTCAAATTTTTGGAACCCAGGCAAAAATGTATGTGTTAGATGGTCCCTAGCTCATCATAGTACATCTTGATAAAAACTAACCAACAACTATTAAATATAAGGTAATTTAAATTTAAATTCTTATATCTTGCTTATTTTTCACATGATGATTAAACTTAGGACACCTAAAGATGCACCCTGATTAAGAATATGTTTAAGTCTGAAATTTGTATATTGTATAAAAAATGTTGGGTTATATTGATATGTTTCTAACATGTTTGTATATTTTTACAGGTTGAATGTCTTGATACTGGCAAAAGTTTCACTTAAATCCAAATAAATAAATAGATGGCACCAGGCTGATTAAATTACATCTTTATAAAAAAATCGACCAACAACAATTTAACACAAGGTGAGAATTATACAAAATATTGTTTCTTGTGTAGGACACCTAAAGATGGACCCTGATTAAGAATATGTATAAGTCTGAAATTTATATATTGTATCAAAAATGTTGGTTTATATTGATATGTTTCTAACATGTTTGTATATTTTTACAGGTTGAATGTCTTGATACTGGCAAAAGTTTTACTTAAATCCAAATAAATAAATAGATTGCACCAGGCTGATCAAATTACATCTTTATAAAAAAAATCGACCAACAACAATTTAACACAAGGTGAGAATTATACACAATATTGTTTCTTGTGGATTACTTATTTTTCACATGATGATTATACTTAGGACACCTAAAGATGTACCCTGATAAAAAAAAATTGGTCTGAAAATTGTATATTTTATCTAAATTTGCGCATTTTTAGTTAAGATTTTAACACGTAATTTTTTACAGGTGGACACCTTTTCCTTTGTGTACAAGAAATTGTGAGGAAGGTAAGTTACTTTTGAATTTCCTGAAGATTATTTGTAATAATGTACCTAAATAAATAAAAAAATTAAAAAGATTGTTTTATAAATACCCCACCCATCTGTATTCCATATAATACAGAAATTAATTCATACAAACTGTTTTGTATTAAATAATTTCTTATTAATAATAAACATTTTTGTCATGATTTGCTTCAAGTTTCACTCTTATTTGTAAATGAGTAAAATCAAACAGCTCAAAAGTTAAAAATCCTATTTCTTTTTACAAAATTCTAAGCAGGTGTGGTTTAACTCCTTGGAATTTTACTCAAAATAATAGCAAGGATTATAAATTTTTACCTAGATATAGCTCAAGGATAAAATAAAGAGTTTCTTTGGCTAATGCTAAAAAAAAGTTCCTATTAATATGGGTCCGCAAATGCACCGTTTTCAAAAACGGTTATTTGTGTACCAAGGCCAAAAAGTGACTTCTAGACGAGTATGATTTTAATGACCGAGGCCAGAAAGAAGACGAGGTCAAAATAACACTCAGTGCAATGGTGCACACAATTTTTTTTTAGGCTAGCCTCATAATCAATTTATTTATGATTTATTGACATATTCGGGGTCTTGATCTATCTTTCTTGCTAATATTGAAAGCGTCCGAAAGTGTTATTTTTCGTCCTTTTTTAATAAACACCAAAGTTACCTTTTCAGCCGCTTATTAAAAGCCACACTCTGTGTTAAAAGCTAATTAATTTATTAATTATTATTAATTTTTTTTCAAGCGTACAATAGTTATTATATTATATATATGACTCATGAGCAGAGCTGGGCACGAGCACTAAAAAAAGTATTCGTAAAATTTTAAGTACGAGTACTTTAAATATTTACTCGTAAGTACTTTGGTAAAGAGGTTACGGTTACGAGTAGTAATCGTGAAAACACGAGTAAAGAGTACGAGTACTTAAAAAACTTTTAAATTTTTTGGAACACTTAAAATAAAAAAGTTAAAGGGGGGCGACATTATAAGGAAGCACCCTGTACCTAATGTATAAAATAAATAATTTTATAAATTTGTATTTGTGTAGGTAATGTATAAATAATAATCAATTATTATTAATTAAATATATATATATTACGGTGTGCCAAAAAACCTCGATATTTTTTTTTTCTTGCGCTCAACCCAAAATATCGTAGAATATGTCCGAACAAATATTCTGTTAAAAGCGGAGCTCATAATTTCAATTTTAAGAGGTCCTCCATCGAATCTGAAGTTTTGCCGCTTAAATAACACAGAAAACTGACTTTTTTACCTTATTTATTCTTGCAACCTAGGAAGAAATTTGTTTTTCATAAAATCCATGACTAATTCTTACAAAGCATTAAATTTGGCAAAAAAATCTTATTAAGCTGAATTTCTATTTTCAATATTTGATTTTTTACAGAGCTTTAAATTTAAAGTTAATAATACAAAAATGATGACTTTATACGCCTGTAACTTTAAGAATATTGACGATACAAAAAATTCGCCAAAAACTTTTTTGTGGTCCATCAGACAAGCTAAAAAATTGCCATTTGACTTTTTCGTCTAACTTAAATAGTTTAGCTGAAAAAGGCAAAAAACGTAAAATTTTAAATTTAAAGCTCTGTAAAAAATCAAATAATGAAAATAGAAATTCGGCTTAATAAGATTTTTTCTTCCAAATTTAATGCTTTGTAAGATTTGGTCATGGTTTTTATGAAAAAAAAATTTCTTCCTAGGTTGCAAGAATAAATAAGGTAAAAAAGTCAGTTTTCTGTGTTATTTAAGCGGCAAAACTTCAGATTCCATGGAGGACCTCTTAAAATTGAAATTATGAGCTCCGCTTTTAACAGAATATTTGTTTGGACATATTCTACGATATTTTGGGTTGAGAGCAAGAAAAAAAAAAATATCGAGGTTTTTTGGCACACCCTAATATATATATATAATTAAATATATAAATACTCGTATATAATAATCGTAAATTCCACGAGTATTTTTTATGAGTACATTGAATTTGGTTTGTAAGTATGAGTAATAATTATTACTTAAGTATTTCAAATAAAAAATACTTTAAGTAAAAAAGTACTTGTACTTTTTTACTCGTAATTAAAATGCGAGTAAAAGTACTCAGTACTTGGCCAGCTCTGCTCATAAGTTTATAAGACATCCATTAATTACGTGAGATAAAAATCAGGAAGAAACTATAGTACATCCTAATTAAAATGGGATTTATAGATTTTTAAATAATACTCATTTTCAATTTAAAAATTATTTTATTATTATAAAAAAGTATATTAAGGATATGAAGTACCTCCTTAATTATAGTGACTAAATCATAGCTTAATTAATTGCAGGTTACACAACATATATTTAAAACATGATACATCATGTATATATATAGCCTTACAGAATTACATCACATACATATTTATCCTTACATATCTAAGGGCCCCTTGGCTTTAATTCCTCATAGCATGATCTCAAGAAAATATAATTTTTCTTTTGAGTGTTATAAAACTCATGCCCCTTACTCCAGTCATAGCTCACAGAATAGGCAAATATCTGCCCATTGTGATTAAAAGCACATCTGGTAATTGACTGCTCCATAATTTCAGATGGTTTTAGTTTGGTTCTGGCATCTTTGTCCCAGAAACTGAATGAACCATCAGCCCCCACAGTGGCCAAGGTACCATGAACAGGGTGAAATGCAATATCATTAACAGCATAGATATCCTGGAAACCACTTGGGGTACCATTTGAACGATGGCATTTAAATGTAAAGTTGTCTTTGGGATTAGTGGGGTTAACATATTGAATTGCAACTCTTCCCTCAACAGAACCCAAAGCATAACCTGTTGGTTGCTTTTTTTTGTCTCTGAATATGGCCAAACATCTGTGTTGATATTTGAGAGGGCTTTCCAATTTTTTGTACTCTTGGGGTTTGCCTTCCAACTGGTAAACTATAATTTGTCTTCCAGCAGTACCCACTACAGCCATTGGGTAGTCTACATCCGCACAGTAGCAGCGTTCTGGTAAATTTATGCTCATCATTGGATTGGGGCTGCGTGTGTCCCAGAATTTTAATGTTTTGTCCCAAGAACCCGTCATTAGGCATGAATAATTACTGCCTTTTACCCAATGACATGTTTTAATTGGGGCATCGTGAACAGCAACTTGCACAACTTGGTTGCTGGCCAAATCCCACATTTTTGCCTGTTTATCACAACCTGCCATAAATACCTATAAAAAATACAAGTTGGTATTTTTTTATCATAAAAAACCTATATAGTTGACCTGTTAAATCAAGCTAAATATTACATTTTCACCACAGATACATATTTAAAATTAAGTTTCCTAATTTTTTAAATTAAATTCATATCCCAACCTACTTCCTCATTTATGTATGTGTAGGTTAGGGGTGTCAATCCCGGGATCCTGTAAAAAATCCGATCCCGAAAATCTCGGGATCAAAAGTCCCGGGATCTAAGTAATAAGTTACAAAGAATAAAATAAACTTTTTTTCAAGCGTATGAATATTTTCTTATTATAATACTCACAAGCATATATAGAAATACTTCATTTTTGTCTCGATTTTTGTACGCAGTTCAAGAGGCAAAATATTATACACCGCCATACAATAATGAAAATTCATTGAAATTACATAGCATGAGTGGTTCCATCCATCGCGTTTAGCATAAAATCACCAAAGAAAATGTAAAATTACAGGTCACTGTAGAATAAAATGAATTTATTCTACAGTGACCTGTAATTTTACATACATAACCTATAATTTAACATATTTCAAACGTCAAACCTGAAAAAATTTCAAACTCTATAATTTCAATGTAAGTTACAGCCCCAATTGGAACTCATCAAGGCCCGATTGGTAGAAGAAATGGAATTATTTGTTAATGGGGGTAAATTTGGGTACAATGTGCCTACAAACTCTTAAAAACCATCCCTCCAACTAGTCTGAAAGATATCGTTCGTTACTTTGTTCCTTTATTTAAAATTGGTTTTAAAATTAATGATATATATATTTTTTCGGAAATGATCCCGGGATTAGGAACGTTTGGTCCCGAAAGTCCCGGGATTGGAAAAGGCTTGGGATTGATACCCCTAGTGTAGGTAACTTTTTTCTAATAAAAGTTCAAATCCTAAATTTATCATATTTAGGGATTACTTATAAGAACAACCTTCAAAGAACACTATCAAAAAGCAAGGGATTACACTCATACCAACTGCTCCAAGGTTTAAACCTTGATTCCCCCTGATTTTAAAACTTTTGAGTTTTAATTATCATTAGCGGGAATATACAAGCAAGCATTCACATTTAAAATTAAATTTATTAAACAACTAAATAGTAAATAATTTACCTTTGTTCCATCATCACTCCAGGCAACATCCAGTACTGGTCCTCCGCAAGATTGCATTGACTTTGGTACACTTTTGCCAGTTTGTTCAATTTCCCAGCATCTTACATTTTTGTCCCAACTACCGGCAATCAAAAAATTTTGAGGCAACGTAGCAGGGGAAAATGATAAACAACTCACGGAATCATCTGGTGGCTGAGCAACCTCAAAATCTTTCATGGGGTTTGCTGTACTCGGCGTCGGAGCTCCACCAAAACCACCAAGTGAGCTTTGGTTAAACATTTTAAGATCTAGAATAAAACGTTTAGTGGTTTCTTCAATTAAAAGTTTAGTACTTACAATAAAAACTTTAATTATACTCTATTAATTCATAAACACAGTAATTTTTAAAACGTTTGACAGTAAATTTAGTTACTTTGTGTTTAGGAGTCCTAAACAAAAAGTAACTAAATTAGGACTAAATGTCAAAAATGTCAGCGGCAAATTCAAAAATCCCCAATTAAATAACCACACCACTTGTTGATTATCCCAAAATAAAATTTTAACTTTTAATAATTCAATAGAATGTTGCTTTAACTTAACATTAAGTACCAATAAGAAATTATATATCCTAAATCTCCATAAAAAGAGTATTTGAATGGACCAATGCAGCCAACAAAATAACCCACAACTCCTGTTTATAACCATTGGCGCGCAATTTTCCCTCTCATTTGTGCCGGTTGATTTCGAGGGTGGTTGTGTCGTCCCTGTGTTCTTTTAAACAAGAATCTCTTAGTATTTGTTTATATTTTTGTTAAAAACAACAAATCAAAATGTTTGAAGCACGTTTAATAAACAGCGCCCACTTCAAGAAAGTTCTTGATGCAATTAAAGACCTTCTAAAGGAGGCTTCTTTTGATTGTTCTGAATCTGGAATTCAACTACAAGCTATGGATGATGCCCACGTTTCTTTGGTGTTTTTAACACTCAGATCTGATGGATTCGATAAATACAGATGCGACAGGAACTTAACCATGGGAATGAACATCGAAAAGTAAGTATATTGTAGAATTGAACATGTCACAATACTTATGATTTGCTTGTTTCACAGCTTGTCCAAGATATTTAAATGCTCCAGCAATGACGACACAGTTACAATGAAGGCTCAGGATGATGCAGATACAGTTACCTTTACCTTTGAATCCAAAAAACAGAAAATCTCCGACTATGAAATGAAACTCATGAACTTGGATCAAGAACATCTTGGAATTCCTGAAACCGACTTCTCCTGTGTGATCCGCATGCCTTCTGCAGAATTTGCAAGAATCTGCAGGGATTTATCTCAATTTGGTGAATCCATTGTTATTTCCTGCACCAAAGAAGGTGTTAAGTTTTCCACATCTGGTGATATTGGCAGTGCCAACATAAAACTTGCACAAAACAACAACTTTGATAAGGAAGAAGAATCAGTTACCATTGAAATGCAAGAACCAGTAACGCTCACCTTTGCTTGTCGTTACTTAAATTTTTTTACAAAAGCCACCCCACTAGCCCAACAAGTACAATTGTCCATGTCTGATAATGTACCTTTGGTGGTTGAATATCAAATCCCTGATTTAGGTCAGATCTGCTACTATTTGGCACCCAAAATTGAAGAAGATGAAAATTAACATCTGTGAAGTATTTAGTTGTAAGATTGTATTTTAAGTTTCAAATTTTTTTACTCCATGTACAATTGCGTTTCGTTTTTATAAATAAATCCTATTTATTGAATTCTTGTTTAATTTAAAAATATATCACACCATTTCTCTATGGGATTTCTCTATGGTACATAACTTGGGAATTTACCCAATTTTTAATATACCAGGTATTTGCCTATCACTGGTAATAAGATATTTAAAAAGTTAATAGGTAAGTATCAGGTATATTGCAATTTGGCATACAAAATATATTTACCTTAATTTAAATTGAATTATAGAAAAATATGCAAACATCCCAAGTTGGGATTCCCAACACGAAAATTCAACAAATAAAAACCACTTGTATTAACCCAGTTTCTTTAAAAAGTATTGATCGAAGAAATTATACTTAATTACCTAGGCAAGCTTGCTCCTAGACTTTATAACTATAGTTATATATATGCCGCAAAATTTGAAAGTCATAACATTAAATAAAATTTTTAAAATAGAATTAAAAAACTGGATTTTGAGTTCCCCTAGAAAAGTCATAAATGATTATATAAATCAAAATAATTTATCTTAATGGTGTGTACAACCCTATCAATTATTTATTTATTTAACTTGTATATTTATTCAAATATTATATATTTTGGTTATTAATTTAAATTAATTTTATTATTATTTGTGTTTTAGTGAATATTACTTTTTAGTTGTGTGGTTATATGCATTAATTATATATCATGTACAAGTATACTTTACCGAAGTATGCTTCAATGATTGCATTTATGTTTATTACTTTCTTGGATAAAATAAATTATTTTTAAATACAATCACATCTTTTTTTATTTGCCTATTATTTAGTACAGGGACTTAAAAGTTTAAAAGGAAAACAAGAAACAAAAAACATATTAGGGATTTATTTACATTACTACAAAATTAATTATAAATTAATTTAATGGTGACCATGTCCATGATCACTGGGATTTAACTTATCGTAAATAGCAGTGCCAGCAATGGTGAGCAAGAAAGCTCCAAATCCATATTTGAAGCCTCTGAAGAAAACTTGTTTGATTCTGATTTTTTCATTACCAAATTCCTTTACATTGTATCTCCAAACTTCGTTTCTTAACCATGGGTCTTTTAATCCTTGTGAAGCCAATGCTTTTTCAATACTTGCTAATTCGGGGACGTCTGCTACCTTGTAGATTCTGTAATCTGGGATTTTGTAGGGGTCACCATGTCCATGCCCATGTCCACCCATTTTATAACTAGAAAAGTTAAATATTCAGTATAATTTCTTTAGTATATTCACAGCATAACAAATAGGTAAAATAATGGCAATATTACCTAATAAATATACTTTTTGGTTATTTATATAATTGACAGTTGACGGATGTCATCAAACAAAGTGACCAACATTAATGATCATGTATCTTGATCATGACCAACCAAATAAACTAAAATTAACCAAGATTATAAATTTTATCCTTTTTCTGTGATTTTAACGTTGAGTGAAGAAGTTTAGTCAATAATTTTAAGATTTTCGTAAAAAAATTAAGGTATTTTCAATGAAAATTTTATGAAGACAATTGGTTTCCTTTTCATAGAAAATATCATGCTCTGATTGGTTAAGGGGCATTCCACGTTACTCGGTAATTTTTGTCCCGCCCGTCACAATTAAAAATTGTGAGTAAAAACCACAAGTTATAAAATTAATATTTTATATTATTTTTATTGTGCTTATAACTTATTAAAAGCATAATAAAACAATATTTTTAAATAAATTTTATAACGTGTAGTTTTTACTCACAATTTTTAATTGTGACGGGCGGGACAAAAATCCCCGAGTAACGTGGAATACTTTTTATAGAAATTAATTTTAAGAAACATCAACCAAAAAGGTGCCTATCTAATAAAACACATAATAAAAAGCAAATAAAGTATATTAAAAGTGTATTAATTATCTAATATTTTAAGAAAAATTGTTAATAAATAAATGTGCAATAATATGTTATTAATACGTAAAACTATTGAATCAATCTGTGGGGTTTTGCACCACTATTAATATAAATTCTTTATCAGGTGCCACCATAATTTCATGTTTTTTAGATCGAATTCTTAGGAATGTCAAGTCATTTGATGGATCGAGATCCCTTACTACACTTCTTGCTTTGTCTGACAATGAACTGATTAAACCTGCATATTGCACTGTTGTGGTGTTATCTAATGTCGACTTGATTGGAATGCCTGAAAATTATATGAAAAAACATGTTTTTAAAGAAAATAAAGACAACTTTACCTTCTGAGTTTACTACTATCGTTCCAACCACACCTTTGTGAGATTGGATGCGTTTCATAGTATCCTCTACTTCGTTCGCCTAAAATACATTCGTTTATTTAAAAAAATAATATTCAGTTTACCGATTACTCACCATTTTTAATAATTTCTATCGAAATATTTTTTGTTACTTCTCAAACGTCAAAACAAAATGTTGCCAACTATACTTAGTATAGTTGGCAACATATATAGTATACTACAACAATTTCTTGCCATTGGCAACATTACTTGTATCATTTCTACCAACTGTTGGTAACCAACATAACAAATTATCCACATAACCTCACATATTTTGTAGGTTAAGTTTTTAAAATGAGTAGAAACAAGGAGCTTTTATCGAAAATAGGGTTGCGTTTAGATGGCAGAAGAGCAAATGAATTACGTAGAATACGCTGTAAATTGGGAGTTTTCACTGAACCGGACGGTAGTGCCTATATAGAACAAGGGTTAACAAAAGTTTTGGCTGCTGTTTATGGACCTCACCAAGTAAGAACTTAAATAGTTTTAGATGTGTAAATATTTTTAATGACTTAAAAAAAGAGAATAAGAACATAAACTTGTGATAAAATTAATTAAATAATATTTTCTGAATGCTATCCATAAGCTTAATTATTTTACTCCAGTTTAACAAAATTTATACCGTAAACACAGGTGGCTTTAGCTACTTTCAAACTTAAGCTTAAAATTTGTGTGGTTTTAACAATCATAAACATTAAATATAAACTGGATGTGGGTGTAACTTTGTCTCACAGTGTATTTTTCGTATAAAATTAACTCAATATTTTATTTTTATTATGTCTACACACATGTTAGCGACATATAGCTGATTGCAAGGGATTACCGATAAAAAAAAAATAAAAAATCGGCATGTAGTTAACCATGGTTGCAAGGATCATCATTCCAAAGGATTGCGCATAATATAGTAATTGTAACGCGTGTATTTCTAAGAGTTTTGCACTGATGCAATATATACAATTTTAAAGTGTAATAAATCCTATTTATTTCTTTAAAACACTGATTTTCCTGTAATATAAACTCAACAGTTTTATTTTGACCTTGTTCGTGTACGCATCGTTAAAAAAATAAAACTAAATTTAATCGTGAAACTTAAACTCAAATAGTGTAAGGTGTCACATAATGGAAGTGGATGATGAAAATGCAGAGGGAGAATTTACCATACCGGCCTATAATAAGAAAAAACGTAAAAAAAATAACGACTCAGATACCACTGAATACACAGAAAACGAGATCGCCGAAATTATAGGAGTAAACAAAAACAAAAAGTATACAAAAACAACAAGTGATAAAAACGCTCGTACAAAAAACCAAGCATACCACACACAATCAGATTCAAACACAAGTTATAAAGCTACTCATACACGTCAAACAGCAGAAACAAACAACAATCCTACAACAAGTAACTCATCACTTTCACCGAAAATGCAAGCTATATTTAGAAAAACCTATGAAAACGTTTTCTATATAACTGCTCCAGACGAACTAACAAGAATCCAACTGGCGGACAGATGGGCAACCTACTTTAAAAACTCAAAGGAAATAATCTTAAAAACACAAAAAGGATTTATTATCAAATCAAACAATAACAAACAAAACACCTTAGCTACCCTTAAAATATTGAAAGATTGTGGTTTTATTAACACATACGAATTATCCAATAATACCCCACAACAAACAACTTCAAAAAAAATACATAACCAATCCTTCTCGGCAGTGATATCGAATGTTGACATAGATATTGAAGAAAAAGAAATAAGTGTTGTTTTAAAAGATAACGGAATCGAACACAGGTATTGTAAAAGAATAATCTCTAAAAAAACAAACAAACCCTCCTTATACATAAGAATAATTACAGGAGAGATTAAAGCATATGAAAAGATAATTAACGAAGGCATTTACTACAAATTTCGTTACTATCCAGCATACCCAAGTCATCCTCCTGAACCGCTACCAATACCATGTGCAAAGTGTTCCCAATTTTCCCATACAACTGAAAATTGTAACACAGAGGCAAAATGCTCGAAATGCGCCGGAAATCATAAAGATAGGGAATGCAAAACCAATTTACCCCCATCATGTACAGCTTGTAGGTCTACAGAGCATGTTGCTTGGTCAATTAAATGTCCAAAACGCCCCATGAAACCTATTGAAGGTATTCCAAACATTAAAATTCGTTCCTTAAACAAAACTACAAGTGAAATAGACAAGAAAATTACAAAAAATCATAAAATTCATTCGGCGGTGACAATTCATGATTATATTATCAATACGTACATAAAAAAAATAAATAAACCGACAAATACAGACAGGCAAGAACTAATTTCTAGATTGCAAAAACGTTTTATAGACGGTTTTAATATAAACACTGTGCCAACATTTGTGGGAAATCGCCTGTACATTTTGATGTTCGATTTAGATGAAGAAAACAGTCACTCCCCAACAGAACCCAATGATGGAATCCAAATTCATGTCAACAACAATTAAATTTATTTATTCAAACATCAACAGCTACATTACAAAAAAACATTTAATTAACCACTATATTGAACAAAATAATATTCAATGCAGCATGTTTGTAGAGACAAAAACAAACGAAGATCGTTCCATGCAATATAGGGATTGGACAACCATATATAAACATGGCAACATACTCAACAATAATACAAGAGGGGGTGCTTTGGTTCAAGGTGATCGCAGGCTTAAAATAGGTAAATCAAATCCTCCACACTTTAACAACCCCTACAATGATGTGTTACATTTTACTATTCCTTACAAAACCGACAAAATACACTTTTTTTTGGTTTACATGCACCATAGTAATAGATTAATAGAGGAAAATTTATTTACGAAAGCATCACAGTACAAATATGCAATTATCATAGGGGATTTTAATGTTACAAATAAAAGAAAAAAACAAATACAAAACTTTTTAAACAATTCAGATTTCACCCAAATCCACACCCCTCCTACTTTTTTAATGCCCAATAATAGTGACACTACTCCAGACATTTTGCTCTGTACAAAAAACATCATTAACAATATCACAGAAGTAGAACTAATACCTGATTTAGGATCCGATCATCTTGCCATTCAATTTAACTTTGATATAGGAAAAAATCCACAAACCATTCCAGAAAACATCAAATATAATTTTAAAAAAAGTAATATAGAAGCTATAAATAATGAAATCATCCAGACAATGAACCTACATGAGAATATTTCTCCTCAAACAATTGACTCCTTTCTAAAAAATATCACCAAAATTACTCTAAAACATACTCCTATTTTAAAAACAAGCTTCTTTGCACATACATTACCACCATTCATCATAAAACTAATTAAAATAAAGAAACAACTATATAGAGAGATAAAAATTAATTACGACCCTATACTTAAAAGAAAATACAACGAATTAAATAAGGATATACATACATTAATTCTACAATATAGGGCAGATAAATATCTAGAAGCATGCCAAAATATCAATGTAGCAAAGGGTCGGTCATACTGGGGTGAAATAAAGAAACTCTCTCGATATAAAAAATATAACCACATTCACTATATAAAAGAAGACAATAAAATCTTACAAACAGAGCAAGAAATTGCTGAGGCCTTTGCAAGACAATTTGAAAAAAATTTTAAGTTTACGGAAAATGTAAGTTTTGATGGAAATTATAAAAATAATACACATAACTGGGTAAGAGATAACTTTACTCAAAGAAACTTAAATGAAAATATAGAAAATGTAACTGAAGACGAATATTTCGAGAGTTTGAACGGGAAGAATACGGCACCAGGGCATGATCAAATTCCTAGATTGGTTTTAAAGCAATTTGACCAGGAAATCCATGACCAAATAATAAGAATTTATAACTTCTGTCTGCATAATAGTTATTTTCCGGAAGAATGGAAGAAAGGAAGAATAATTACCATTCCTAAAGCGAACTTGGATCACACTGTCCCAGGCAACTACCGGCCCATCACCTTATTGCCAGTTGTCGGAAAAACTTTTGAAAAAATAATCAAAAATAGATTAGAACAGGCCATTGGACATAAAATCCCAATATACCAATTTGGATTCAAGAGACGAACTTCCACTACTCACCCACTAATTGTCTTAACATCAAATGTACAACAGAAGAGTATAGAGGGAAATAAATCAACTGCGCTGTTTATGGATATTTGTAAAGCCTTCGATTCCGTATGGCACGATGGGTTGCTGAAAAAATTGGTGAAATTGGAAAGCCCGAATTATTTGGTATGGATAATAAAAGAATTCCTCACACAAAGGAAAATACAAGTAAAAATTGGCAATACACTATCCCCCACCTTTTCACCAGAACAAGGAGTGCCACAAGGCTCACCATTATCACCGTTCTTGTATAATTTATTTTGTTATGACATGTACAATTTGGACCACTTAAACATAAACAGACAGAGCTATATTCTCCAATATGCTGACGACACAGTTTTGATAACGCATGGAAAAACGACATCAGAAGCAAGTGTGAAACTACAAGAACTAACCAATCAGGTATCGTCATGGATGTCTAAATGGAGAATCCTACCAAGTCCGTCAAAATCACGCCTACTACTGTTCCATCACAAAATAAAAGAAAATTCGCCCACAATAAATATTATGCAAAGTACAGTGGAACCATCAACATCATGTCGTTACCTGGGAATTTTGATAGACACTAAGTTAAACTTCAAACAACACACAAGCCACACCAAGACATGTATTATAAACAGGGCCAAGCACTTTAGAAGCTTAACTTATAAAGACCAGGGAATAAATATTGCTGTGGCAACCAACATTTATAAACTTATCTGTCGCCCAGTGCTGGAATATGGATCTGTTCTTTTTATAAATTGCAGAAAACCCACCCTAACAAACATAGAGATAGGCGAGCGCACAAGCATAAGGAAAATTACAAAAATCAGACATCCTCAAAATTCCTTATTCAACCCATCCAATGAAGCCCTTTACCATATCACTGGAATACAACCCATACAAGAAAGATTGGAATACCTAGCGAAAAAATTTGCCAACAAACCCGAAAACCTTAATGTGATGGAACCTTTGATTCTTAAAACACAACTCGAGACAACACCAAGGAGAAAATACCCAGAGAAATCGTTGTATGACTCACTCAGGGAATTGACAGAAGATTAATGAAGATATTAACAATATATTTAATTATAACATTTTTTTTTTTTTTTTTTTTGTAAAGTACAGAACATAAATTAAAATATAGTATTTGTTATATACAAAATTGTAATTGGGCAGGAAGACGAAAGTCGTTAGCCTTTTGGATTTCCAATAAAGTTTATTATTATTATTATTATTATAAACTCAATATAAACTTAATATTTACTTTATTTAAGGTTCGTGGACAACGTTCAAAAGCGCAACACGATGGGGCTTTGGTAAATTGCCAGTTTAGTATGGCAGTCTTCTCAACAGGTGAAAGAAAACGTAGACCCAGAGGAGACAGAAAGTCCACTGAACTATCAATGCACTTACAACAGGCTTTATTAGCTGCAATTAAGACTGAATTGTACCCTTGGTCTCAAATAGATGTTTATGTGGAAGTATTACATGCTGATGGAGGCATTTACCCTGCCTGTGTGAATGCTGCAACATTGGCTTTAATTGATGCTGGTATTCCTTTGAAAGAGTATGTTTGTGCTTGTACAGCAAGTTTGGCAAATAATGATGTTCCTATGTTGGATATTTCACATCAGGAGGAGGCTATAGGAGGGCCTACTTTGACTGTGGCTGCTTTACCAATGTCAGGGAAAATTGTGCTAATGGAGATGTCACAGAGGTTTCACTTAGATCATTTGCCAAAAGTATTGGAGAAGGCTTTGCAGGGTTGCAAGGATGTTAAAAATATTTTAGATGAGGCTGTCAGGTTGCATGTGCAAGATGTTGGAAGTTCTACAGGATGGGTTATTAAGAACTAAGTTTGTTTTATTTTATATAAATTTATTTTTGTATTAAAATTGTTTTTTATAATATTTAAAATAATTTAAAACAGAATTTGGAGTATAACATAAATACACTTAATTATAATTCTTCATAGTCTAAAGAAGCCTATTATTATTATAAAAATAAAAATATACAGGATGTACAATTGAAGGCACACAATGGTGTAATTTTTAAATTATTTAGTTAGCAGTGGCATCTGGATGTCTCTCCAACAACATAGCAACACCCTAAAAATATCAACAATTAATATTACCTAGTACAAACAAATCTCTTCATTATATAAGAGGTACAGCCAGAGAAAATAGTAATGGACTTTGTCAGGGCTGTTCCTTAAAATGTGAAATTAATAAAGTTTGGATAAATTATAAACCTACACTCAACTAAAACATCTAAAATAAACAAATACATGGAAATAGAACTATCTAAACATTTTTCGAAACTGTCTCAAATAACTCAAATTTAAAATTTTCCAAACTATTAAAAATGACCCAAACTGTATAATAACTGTAGATAACCCAAATTGTAGTTGTAGAACTATCTAAAATGGACCAAACTCTATAAGAACCGACCAAAAACTGTCTAAAATGTCCTAAAACCGTCTTAAAAATATGTTTATAAAACAAAAAAAAATCATTACTATTTTGTCTGACTGTACCTAAGAAGTATGGAATAGATAGCTCAAGACCTAAGATGTAATAACTCTTAAAAATATTACCAGAAAAGAAACAAGTTTTAGTTTGCGTTTTATTAGATGGCAAGTGTTTCTTGGTTTATTTCCCCACTATTTCCACCAAATAATTTTTTTGGAGTGAGACCCCGCGAATTTTTTTTTAATTGTTTGCATTAAAATATTGTCTTACTGAAGATTTCAGCTCTTAATATTAAGTACTAATGATTTTTAAAAGTTTGACGTTATATTTTTTGCCGCAAGGCCAGATTTAAAAAAACTAATGAACTTTCGAAACCAAAAATCGTTATACCTTTGTTATTCTTGTGAATTTTGAAACAAACTAAGTTTAACATGTAATTATACCCACATTAATCCATATTTTTATCCAATTTTTTTGCTACTAGGTATGTTACTTACACCATAATTTTTTATAATTTCACTTGAAATTTTCATGAAATTTATGAAATTTATTAAAACTTTATTGAAACTTTCAATAAATTTCAATCACTTTAAGTGTAATAATTAATATTGAAATAAGCCCACTCGGGGACCATGACAAATTGACTCTCTTACCTCCTACCCCTCTGTGGGCCCCTGCACCAATAATATAAATAATAAATACCTATGTTTACCACAAATTTCTTGAGATTTCCATTTAAAATATTTTTAAAATTACTAAAACTAAAAGAGATATAGCACTTTTTGGTAAGCTAATGAGATTGTGCCACTTTCATTGTTTTATATTTATATATATTTATTATTTTTATATATTTTACTGAAATTTTACGAAAATTCATCAAAATTTTATGAGCCAAAGGCATTTTTATCCGTTTTCCGATGCAATTATTGCAAAAGTAAAAGTTTAAATTAATCATGACTTTTAAAAAAATTTAAAGTCTGATTTAATTTACAAATTAAATTGGTAACTGAATTAAATTATTTAAATTAATGTATGCATATAAGTAACAATAATTACTTATAGTGTATTCAAATCCAAGCCGAACTAAACAAAAACGCCCAGACGCTTGATAACTCGTTCTTATTGGTCGATTCGGAATCTGTTGTAAATTATTATTAAAGGTCCCAGGGGAGGCCGCATGTGAAATTTATGCGAAATTTTCAGTAAATTGCGAAACTTTCAATGAAATTTCTGAAAGTTTCACAGGCAATGTTGAAATTTCGGATTGAAAATTTCATTTGAAATTTTTAAAAATTTCACTTTTCCAACTAAATGAAATATTTCAAGTTTGAAACTTTCAAAGTTGAAATTTTCATCTGTCCCAACCCTACCTCCAAAACTTAATTTACATTTTGAAATAACTATATTCTACTACTATTATAGTAGTAGAATATAGTTATTTCAAAATGTAAACTTTAGACTAAAGACTCTAAAGGCTCCCAAAATTTACCAACTTCTTTCCCAGTGTAATTTTCCCAATAACCAATTTATTTATAATTTACCTGTCCACCAGCAGCACATGCAGCAACCATTCCAAATTGTCCATCCTCCCTGACAAGTCTGTTGGCTGTATGCATGGCCAATCTTACTCCAGTGGCAGCAAATGGATGTCCAATGGAAAGAGAACCTCCCCAGGAGTTAAATTTGCTGATATCAGGTGATCCTACTTTCGATTGTCTCTTCATGTATCTCTGTGCAAACCAATCGCTGTCCAAGGCTTTAAGGTTGGCCAAAATTTGACCCTAAAGTAAAACAATTTATAAAAAATGTTCCCGTCTAGTTTATAAATTTATTGCACTTACTGCAAAAGCTTCATGGAATTCCCAAGTGTCAATTTCGTTAAGTTGCAATCCGGATTTTTCCAAAATAATTGGGGTACCATAAGCTGGCCCAAGAAGCAATTGATCAATGGGATCTTGTGAAACATAAGTAAATTGACGTAAGTATGCCTTTGGTTTGAGACCCAATTCTTTGGCTCTAGCTTCTGTTGTAATTATACAGGCTGAAGCTCCATCAGTCTAAGCAATAATAAGTCAATTAAAAACATATTCATCAAAGTAAGTATTATTTATTATTTACTTACCAAAAATGATGCATTAGCGGCTGTTACAGTACCATGTGGTTTAATAAAGGCAGGCTTTAATTTTGCTAATTGTTCCTTACTTGACACTCTAATACCATTGTCTTTTATGATTGGTTTATCACTTCCTGCCATCTAAATATATAATTATTAATTAATTAATTATCATCAAATAAAGTAAACTCTTACATGCACAGGAATGATATCAGTAAGGTATCCTTTATCAGAGGCTTGTTGAGCTAAAGAATGGGAACGTTGTGCATAATCGTCCTGTTCTTGTCTGGTAGCACCAAATGAGGCAGCCAATCTATCTGCAGAGTGACCCATGGTTTCTCCAGACGAGAATTCGGAAATACTTGGAAGCTAAAATATTATTTTTATTATGCACCCTTAACAAATATTAAGAAAATCATCTTCACCTCTGGGATTAGGTAGTCAGGTCTAATTTGAGAGAACAAGCTTAATTTTTGACCCAAAGTTTTGGCTTTGTTTTGTCTCAACAGTAGGCTACGCATTTTTCTGCTTAGCCTGATTGGAATGTCGGACATAAATTCTACTCCACCAGCCACAATTAAGTCATAAATACCACTGTTAATTAAACCAACAGCTAAAAATAGTAATTTTGTTGTTTTATTGAAAGTTTATACGTATTATGTAACATAAAGTTTGGGAAAAAATTTGATAATGGATAACTTGGTCAAACTGTTTTACTAAAACATAATAGTTTTTTTATAGGGGTGTTTAAATAGTGTTTGAATCAAATTTGAATTGAATAGTTAGAATTATTCGATTGTTAGAAAAATTAAATTTTCCAATTATAATAGGTGAAACTAATCAAAGTTTTGGAAAAAAAATTGCTTGGTAAAATAAATGAATATAATAATAATTGTTTTCTGAAGGGTTATTCTCAAAATAACTACAATCTTTGCGTGACGTGAGTTTTTTTCTCCCATATTAAAAAAAAAATGGTAAAAATAAGTAAGATTTTTAAAGTACACAACGTTAACTAACAGAACTTAAAGTAAAAAAAAATAAGAAAAAAAAACACCGCCCAAAAAACTGATCTGAATAGAGATATTTTCCTTTCCGTGGAACGTGACTATATCGGGTTGGTAAGTTTCAGTTAATGTAGTGAAAAGCCTGCATATTAAAAAAACCTAAAAAATTGCCATTATTATTAAATACCCCAAAAATACATAGATATGGTTCATATTCCTTTTTATTCTTTTTAATTTAATATTGTAGTTTAGTCATTTATACGTTACCAGTTTCGATCCATTCCGAGGACTTATTTGTAAGTGCAAAATTTCAAAAGTATTTCGCGCCACTCACGTCAACCGTTTATTTTATGTCATTAAAAAACTTGTCATTTGTTATTTAAGTCGCCCTTGTCAGTTCTTTTTTGAAAGGTTGTAAAGAAGCGTTCATGTTTATGTACGAGGCTCCAGTGTAGAAGCATAGGCTGTCCTTTCTGTTACAATTATATTTCAAACAGTAAGTATTGAATTATTTTCTAATTATTGTCATTATTATTGTCAAAGTTTTTATTTTTGGCACATGACAAATGCGAAGGCATAACCTAAAATTTACCTTTCTTATAGAGAATAATATACATAGATGTCCATTCAGTGGACGTCTTTTCTGTGGACATAATTTACCCATAAATAGAAAAATTAAGGTTTGCATGCAATATCAATCTTATTTTAGTTTAGGATTTAACTAAAGCTTTACAAAAATGCTCTTGTAATAATATTACCAAACTTTTTAGTATTAAAAAAATAATAAACCGAAAGTGTAGTTATTTTGAGAATCACCCATTAATTATTGGAAAAGGCCGTTGCTAGTCGTCCGTATAATCGGACGAATAAAATATATTAATCGTCCGTATAATCGGACGAATAAAATATATTAATCGTCCGATTGCTAGTCGTCCGTATAATCGGACGAATAAAATATATTAATCGTCCGATTATCGGATGAATAAAATATATTAATCGTCCGGTAATAACATAAATAAATAATAAAAAGATTATCGGACTCAAACTCAACAACACAACCCAACCGACCCCGCCCCATTGCCCCCCCCCCCCGCCCCATTGAACAAAAAACCCAACTAAAATGGGCAAATTTATGTTACGATAAAAATAAAACACTTTTTAACAAAGCAACAACAAATTTATGAAATAAAAAAAGTTCGACAACTTCTAGTAGATTTTATGTTACGATAAAACTAAAACAAACCAACCAACCCAACCCAACCGAACACTGTTTAACAAAGAAACAACAAATTTATGAAATAAAAAATTAAAAAAAATTCGACAGCTTCTTAGTATCGAACCCGGGACCTCTCGCATGACAAGCGAACGCCCTACCATATAAGCTATCTAGCTTGTTGTCAAATATTAAACGGTCGGTGAACAAAAGCGGATTATAATTATGACGTAACTAACGTTATGTTATTACCGGACGATTAATATATTTTATTCATCCGATGATCGGACGATTAATATATTTTATTCATCCGATGATCGGACGATTAATATATTTTATTCATCCGATGATCGGACGATTAGACAAGTCGATTGGAAAATTAAAATTTTTTAATGTTCATTTAAATAATTCGTAAATTCGAATAGTCACACACCCCTATTTTTTTCATACGTTTTTGGAGTACTTTGGTTTTCGTTTACAGCTAGGGTGTTAATAACTTTTGAAAATAATGTGGTCGCTAACTTCATGTGATCAAGCTACTAGTACCCACACAAAATTTTTGAATAATTAAATATTTGATTCCGAAATAATAATAGTTATTTATGGTACTAGTGTGTTATGTTGAAATTAAGTCACGCGAGAAAGATTTATATCACGAGGCCGTCAGGCCGAGTGGTATAAATTCTCAAGTGACTTAGTGACGAGTGGCATACAATGTTTTATCCAACAAGTGAAAGAAATCGTTTTTTTATGAGATAATAATTAATAAGCTTTGTGATCAAATCAAAGCTACTTGCGTCTCAGTACCCTATACATGTCAGAATGACTTGACAGTGACTTTTTTACATTTTGGTCAAAGTAGGGTTGTTTGTTTGGTTGCAATGGGCATAATCTCTATGGGCATGATACATGATACATTGTTAGCAAATGTTTAAATAAATTTTGACACTTGTCAGTTTTCCTTGAAGAAAAAAAACGTATAAAAAATGGAGGAAACCAATGAAAATTACGAGGATATTTTCCAGAAAAGTCCCGAGATGCTTACGTTCAAAATGTTTGAGTCTTGGATGAATTCACGGAAGATAAAAGGTATCGATGAAAATGTTCTATTGGCTTATTTTTTACATTTGCAAAAAAATTAGCCCCATCGTCGCTATGGACCAAATACTCGATACTTCGCTCGACTATTCACCTTTATAAAAAAATCCACATTTCAAGATATGGCAAACTAACGAGCTTTTTGAAAAGCAAATCACAGGAATACAAACCAATTGGTTTCTTTAAAGAAGTCCAAGAAATTAGAACTACCTGAAATGGAGAAGTTTTTGAACGAAGCTCCCGACGACGAGTACCTGTTGATGAAAGTGGCTTTGATAATGGGGATTAGCGGTGCTTGTAGATGCGATGAATTGGTCAATTTGAAAATAGAAAATATTTAAGACAAAGGGAAATATTTTCATGTAGTTTTGCCAGACACTAAAACCAAGAAATTGAGAAGTTTTACCATACTTGAAGAAGGATTTCCAGTCAACCTGATCAATTTGTGTAAAAAATACATGTCTTTAAGACCAAAGGATGCTAGTTCTAGCCGTTTTTTGTTTTTTTTTTACAAAAATGGGAGGTGTACCTGCCAGTGTGTGGGAATAAATACGTTGTCGAAGATTCCTTCAAGAATTGCAATATTGTTGAAATTGGAGGAACCAGCGCTCTACACCGGTCACTGCCTGAGAAGGTCTTCGGCGACTCTTTTGGCCAATGCAGTGCATGACTATTTTGAAGCATCACGAAGGATGGAAGTCCTTGACGGTAGCAGAAGAAAACCTTGAAGAATAGGTGCATAACAAAATACAAATTTCAGAAAAAATACAAGGTTCTAATGCGTCGGCGTCTTCCAGCACTATCAACAGCTGTACCGATATGGGAGCGTCTGGTTCCAATGAACCAACGAATTTTACAATGACTTCAAATTCGAATAAACCGTTAGCGTTTTCCTTTAATTTCAATATCAATGTAAATTCTGCTTGTAAGAGTAATAAATAAATAGAATACTACTTTAAATATGAACGTGAGTAATGGATTATAACACACTCTTGTGTTATTTGATAGTTAACTTGTCTAAAATGACATTAATAATGACATTCATAACTGTCATGTGTTGGATAAAGTATTTTTTCTACTCCCACCTTTAAAACGTCCTTTATTGTACATGTTTCCATGACACTAAGTGACCTTTTAAATACACATTGACAAGTTGTGGCTTTATGGCGCTTTAATCACGGGCTGAAGTTAGTTTTAAGTTAGTTGACAGTTGTCAAATGTCATACAATCGTTAAAATAAAGTGCCTTTCTTGTAAAATAATACTGAATGTGAAAATTATTTTATTATCTCAATACAAAAATACAAAAGTATTAAATAGTTTCTCAAAGCCAATATTTGAAAAGTACTGACCTTTTAATTTCGCCGGCAGTAAACTATAACTTAAATTCGGGCACGGACATTTTCTTTACTTTCACTGTGAAAAGCTGTCAATTTTCAAGAATAGTACATTCTGTAACAAGTTTGGAATACAGCATATTCCGCTCGAGGAAAAATTTGACACACGAGCCGAAGGCGAGTGTGACGGTTTTACGAGAGTGGAATATGCTATTCCAAACGTGTTTCAGACATTATTTTCTCTACGACTACGTAAGAATAGTAACGCTTATATAATTTTAAACAGAGAAAAGAAACCAAGCAGTTTTTGACATTTAAGTTTTTTGTATTGTCAAACCATTTTGTGCCGTCACAATTTTATAATGTAAATTATAATAAATTTAAACAAATGGTATGCCTAAATCTTTATTATAATTAAAAATAGTTATTTACACTAACTAATAAAAAAAATAACATTGTAACAAATACAAAACTAATTTTACAAGCAATCTATGTCAACATCTATTCTTTTTCTACATTTTAAAGGTCTTTTTTTAAACTTTTTGAATCTGTCAAAACTTCAAAGCCGGTATAGTATGTAACTGGTTTATCATTTTAATATCAAATTTATTATAATTTTGATTTGTATATTTGAAAAACAATAAATATAACTAATTTTTTGTGCTTAAACCTTAATTGAAGACCTCGGGGGAAGAGGGTGATAAGCCACATTTTGGCAAAAAATGAAACACGGACTTTTTTAAATTGATATCCGTTATATAACCAAATATTATAGCTATTATATCATAGTTAGGTATGTAGGTTTTGTTACTACTTTTCGAATTAAAAGACTTTATGAATATGTTACTGACTTTTATTCATTTATACCTATGAAAACAATGATTTCAGGATTTGGGCATATCACCTTCTTCCCCCGAGGTCTTCAATTATACAACTGCTATTATTTTTTAATTAATTATTTACAGTAATATTTAAATATTTTTAAATTGTTTACGTTTAGAAAACAGCCAGGAGATGTCGTTACTTGTGACCATTCTTAAACAAGAGTAGGAATATTCTCGCACAGTATTGCAGAAAAACATCCTTTCTATGATCAAAAATTACACTAGAATGTTACTATTCTTAAGTAGTCGTAGAGAATTACATTTCGATTTATAAACTTTATAATATAAAAATTTGACATTTGACTGTGACACAGATTCCCCTATTGTTTCATAGATGGCGCTCTACAAATTTTTGATTTAAATCATTTTAAGATAATAATAAGTATTTTTCGAACAAAAAGTATAGTCTGCACCTCGTTTATAAACTTTTCTATACACTCATTAATTTAAGCACTCGCTCGCAAGCTCGCTCGTGCCTAAATTAAATTCGTGTATAAAATGGCGTTTATCGAACTTGATACATAATATACTTTTATTATACATTTTTAGTTCAATACAGCTCAAAAAACATTGCATAGAGAAGTGGGTATTTTTACTTTTTTGGCTTTTGTTTTTAGCAAACTCAATTAATAAAATCTTATGTGAACTTCACATGAAGCCACTGACAATGGTAGAGTCAGAAAGATTGTCAAGGCCGTCACAAGATTTTTCTCCGTTTTTAGCTCTTCTTAGTAGAAAAATTCCATCCATGATATCATTGAACTTCTCCATTTAAATCAACTTTCAAATGTCAATTTATAGACATGTGAATTTGTGGACGTCATTTGGCACGCATTCAAAGTCAAAGCACCAAATTCAAAATTTACGATTAAATATAAAATATATATTATAGTGTAAGATTGGATCATGGCATACTTGATTATATTCCTATTTCCTTCATTTAGAAATATTAAAAATTTAAAATCCGTATGATTTGGTTTTTTTTAATAAAATTTGGAAATTGTCAATAAATGGTAAATAATAAATTGCACCAATTAAATTTATATTATATTTATTGGGGGCGCCATGGGGCCGGTACAGCCGAGCAAAAAGTTATCTTTTTGCCATTTTATTACCCATACAAAAAAACACCGATCGCGCACGAACACAGCAAACGGAAAATTATAGAGGTGTATAGGATGACGCCACGTTTGAATATCGATTTCTAAATCTCCCTACGGTATAGAGTTGTATTCGTCAGTCGAGCGTTTCAATACTCTCCACAGTATAGAGGTCGTAATTTCACTTTTGAACTAGTATTAATATAAAAATTATTTTATGCTTAAAAAAACTATATACGACATGATTGTGATTTTTTTCATTTTATTAATTAATTAAGCTGTGTTGAATATTTTTCCTAAAGGAATAATTGCCAATGGGCCATTAATTCATTTGTTCGTAGTTGCTACAATAACCTGCACTGGTGTGTACTTTTTCATCAACCAGATTTAAATATTACAAAATTAACATATACCAGTGGAGATAGTGCAGGGTCTACCAACAGACCTAATTACTAAATTATTAAAGTTTAATAGCATATCGATCATTTTTCAACATAACCTCTTAAATTTTTAATACAAATATAGGTACTTTATATAATACATAAATATACTTAACATCATATCCTCTGTGCTTTACATACCTGAGTTGTTACGGTAAATAAAAATCAGACAAAGGAACCAAAGAAAGGAACTATTTTCAACAAAATCATATGGAGAAATATTTCTCATATGAGAAAATTCATCCATCAAAAGATCAAAACTTCTTGCAATATTACACCCTCTTTTTATACTCTCAGAAATATTGACTAGAACAGTTTCTATAACTTGGTAGAGTAAAGAGAAGTCGAAACCGTTGCGATATTGCATTGCGCTGTTTTTGTATAATTCTCGGGGACATTAACGAAAATCATTGCCAGTAAAATTCGAAAAGCTTGAGTTTCTATGTCTCTGAGGAGAATAGGAATCCGAAGTTGCTGCACCATTGGACTGAACCCTTTTTTAATAATTTCTAGAGACATATATGACTGCACCATTCGACAGGGTCGAGTTTCTACTCCTCTGTTGAATATAGAAAATCAAAATAATGTATCTTGTAAGACACCATTGAGTTTGACTTTAAATATAGTCGTGCATAGGTATAGAGCCGAAAAATATAAAAACAAAGCACGATTCAATACAGTTATGATAAAACTTTAAGATTTGATATTCAAACGCGGAGTCATCCTATACACTTCTATAATTTTTCGTTTGCTGTGAAGGCCAAAACAAAATTTTAAGTTTTTTTTTAGTACAAAATTGCTCCTCCCAATGTAGATATACAGATTTCTATGTATCTGTGAACATGGTATGTTACTAAATAACCCACAACAAATCTCAATTGTTAAGAATTAATGACATTAATTTCTCTCGCTGTGAACAATCTTATTCTTTCACCCTTATATATTTTCATTCCCTCCCTGTTATCAGGTAAGAAATGTTTCATTCCTTCCCGCTACCATGATAATGCTACAGTGTGATTGACTTTGAATGTAAATGTCAGAATTAAACCTGATTTTAATTTTGACACACGTTTTTTTGCGTGTATTTGTAAACAATTAAATAATATACTCATAATATTATTTTTTACTAAGAAATCCACCTTTTCATTTTTCCCCAACCTTTATGTCACACCCACAGACCACCAAAACAAATGGACGGCGCATTGCCATTCAATAACAATGCTTTGTTTGCAGTCAACAAAAGGTCACAGTCTAAGCGTCAAATTGGAGATAGAATTTTATGTTTTCTTCCAGTGACGTCAACAAACGGTCACAGTCTAAGCGTTAAATTGGCTATAGAATTTTATGTTTTCTTCCAGTACGCAATATATTGCGTATACTTCAAAAAAATAAGTAGGTAGGTACTTACAAACGATATTTCCATGTATTGTTATTTTGAGTAAAAAATAATGGATTTAAACTCCATAATTAACTTAAACACGATAGAAATACACAAACGAAAACACAAAACAACAAGCTGTCAACCTTTTTCTATGCTGTCAAATATGACGAATTTACCAACGTTGTTAATATTTAATTTTAATAATTATGAAATTATTTACTTTCTTTAAATAGAGAAAAATATCTAAAGAAAATGATGAACAAATCCTTTTTACAATTATTTTATTATTCAAACGAATTGCTGGTAATTTTTAATGTTCATTATGTTATGATGAACGTCCAAAAAGGCGTGTAATCTATACTTCTGACAACGTTGGAAGCCGTGTTTCTTTCGACGGTGTTTAGAATGTGAAACTATGCTTTACTCGTATTTTAAACGTAAACAAATCCGTCCATTTGTTTTGGTGGTCTGTGGTCACACCATATAGGTATATTTACTGCACATATTATTTACTGGAATTTTTCCCAATGAACCAAACTTATAACTTAACCCTTAGCCACCGTAGTGCAAATACAGTAACGTCTTCACCGTGGTGCGGTCTTGGTGACCGCATAATTAACAACCTTTAATTAATAAAGATAAATTTTTTTACCCAATAAAAACCTTTTTATTAGATTAAGTATACCTTAAAATAAAACTCAAGATGCTTTTTAACATGGTTTATACGTTAATTAACATACACATAAAAAAATAACCGTTAATGTCACATTTTGCTTCCTTTTTGACAAAATTGCCATATATTTTTTTAAACCATATTCTATTGAAAAATAATAATAAATTATTGAAAATGAATTAATATGCAATAAAAAAATCATTAATAACTTGAAAAAAATATAAAAATTGCGAAGGGTAAAATACTCAAAGATTGTGTTTACAATTTTTACAAATTTTTTATGCACATTCTAAACAGGTACCTAGGCTTATAACAAATTTTACAAAAATAAAACGTTTTTCTTTTAATTCTTGATGGACAGGTGCAATAAGTTTTTCGTTTTTTTTTCAGTTTTTCTTCTAAAACTTCTACCTCCTAAGGGTCAGGAAGAGATACCTATAGGTATATATATCGGTTTCTACAAATTATAGCTCGGACGTCACATTTTAACTTTTTATTTTCTACATGTCTATAAAGATGTGGTCTTACTAATTCATTCGCAAGTATTTTCAGAAAATCGGCTTTTTTGCATTATTACGTAAAAAAAGCGCAACTCAAATACTAGCGTAAACACCGTAGACCGGTCACTGTGACCGCTCTGTAAATTTAGCCCTGTTTTTATTGTACACCGGGTCAAGAAGCCACTCCAAATTTTCGCAGCGTACTGATAATGCACCCACTTGAAGGTAACGAGAATACAGTTGTATGATATTGAAGGGAGAATAAGATAAACAAAAATGAAAATCCGCTGCGGTCGCTAAGACCGCACTACGGTGGCTAAGGGTTAAGTTATAATTATGTCAAATTTTGACATTTTTAAAAAAAATCATAACCTAATCTATTAATCTATGACCTAAACCACAGACCTAAACCCACCACTGGCAAAAACCTACCCTTTGTCTATGACATTAACCTTTCAAACTTAAAATTTTAATACTTTTCTCAAATTTTAAGCCCACTATTAGAAACTTCCTACATTATTGATAATTAAAATTACCTGTTGTCATTGCAACATTGGATGAAATACAAGCCATAGTTACAGTATGAGCTGGTGTCTTATCACTGTATCCAGCACAAAGAGCAGCTTCTCTGGCAATATTGGAAGTCCTGATTTCTTGCATTACAGTACCATAAATTACATACTGTACCATTTCAGCTGGCAAGCCAGTTTTGGAAAGGATACCCCTATGATTTTTAATATTAAATTATCCAAAATATGATGGATATGTTAAATTCTACCTTAAAGCGTGTGTAGCTAAATCATGGGGCATAAGCTTGGAGTAATCTGTACCAGAAAGTAAAAATGGGGTTCGAACTCCATCTACGAGTACAATATTCTGTCCGACCACTGGGTTTGCTTTCTTTTGGTTCAGTTGGCTTCCAATTGAGAGGGCACGTACACAAGCTAATAATAATAATAATTATTATTTGTTTAGCAAACTTCTCTAAGAAATTTCTATTAATTCGTATACTCACTGAATTTTTGTTGTACAAGTCCTAGGGCCGTAGGACTTTTCACAATATTCCTTGCCATATAAGAAGCCATTATTATGCTTAATGTACTGCTAATACTTTAGTTAATTTTAATTTTATTTAATAAATTTGTTGCAACCTCAATAAACACGTAGACTTTGACCGGACAGTGTTGCCAACTGTAAGTAAAATTAAGTTTTTTTTTGTTTAAAAACAAAATCTCCAACTAAATTAATTCTTAATATTTTGACTTGCCATCAAAACAAATGTTTTTTTTTACCTACCAATAAATGCAAGATGGTTGGTTTATTTATAACTAAAGTGTCACAGCAAAACTAATGCGGCGCACCCGGGTTACTTTTGTTCGCGAATAGGAGTATATAAATATTTGAAATATATTTGATAGTAGTTGAACTTGAGTCCAAAGTGTACATTTTTAAAATGTAATCATTATAATGATTACATTTTAAAAATGTTATAACTTGTTTTGATGTAGTCTAATTTTAATACTTTTAAATATTTTTAATTTAGGAGCGATCAAACAAAACGCAATAAACCCACAAGAACTAAAATGCGTCATTCTCATCCTGTTAAGGATTTCGTCCTAGCTCAAATGTTTGCCTAGATACAGGTGTGTTTATTAAAAAAAAATCAGACAAATAGTTTTTGAAAATTCCTTATTTGTATTTTAATTTTCTAAAAGGGTTTTCAGTAAAGCTCTTTTCGTTGTCCCTCGCGCCAAAGATCGTTTTTAAAAAAATGTTCAATACCATAACAAATACATATAATTTTAAATTAAGAAAACATTTTTGAATGCCTAGGTATACAGGGTGTCCCACAATTAGTGCAACAAAATGAAGGTGTATTATCTAAAGACGCCCAGGAATTCCAGAAAATTGTTTAAAAAATTCTTTCTTCATTATTTAATAAGATACAGGGGAGTCATATTTTCTTTATATGGCAACATTGCCTCATAATAGTTTAATTCTTAATCATCATGACAACAAACAACAATGTTAGAAAATGCCAAATTTAAATATCAAAATTTGTTACTTTAAGTTATACGCTAAATTCGTATCGGGTTTTGGCGACGCCCGCGCCATCAGTAGGCGCTTTTTAGTACCATTGGCCATACATTGCAAAAGAGCGACTTTTTAAACAATCCTTTAAAACCGTTCGAATATTCTTTTTTTGGTACAAACTGACCATCAATATTAAATAAATAAGTAGTTTGTTTACAGAAGAGACGAAGGTAAAAGTCTTACTCTTCGAATTTCGTTTGCAAAGTTGCAATTACGTTCCTTATAGCTATAGCCGCTCACGTTATTTGTGTTTTTCGTTGCAAGCAACTGAAAATCTGCTTGGTTTAGTACTCGAATTATATTTATTATTCTTTATATGCTTATATAGTCGTGTGTGTATTTTATCTAAGTGATCATGGTGAATTATTGTTGTGTTTTTAATTGTAAATGTAGATAATTCAAGAATCAATCTGAAGTTTCATTTTCATGGTTTGCTAAAGGATACAATTCGGTAAGTATATTTGTTGGTGCATAATTAACTAATTATAACTTTACCTAACATAATTTATATTTAAGTTTAGACATTTTTAAGGAATCAAAATAATAGTTGCAAACATAACCTCAAAAACAAACATTTTTATTTGAGTCCTCAAACGCCTTCAACTGCATTTTAAAATAGTAAAAGACAAAATATACGAATTTATGGCAACATATTGTTTTAAAAATATGAAACTAGAAATACCTGTTATTTGGTTTTATTCATAATTTAGTTGTCGTTTGCATTTAGACAAATTATTTGTTTTATTATTTCTACTGAATTTTAATGTTTTAAATTTGTCAAAGTGTAGGTATATTGTATCTAATATTATAGTTACAATTGATATTTTAGGGACTATACAATTTTAAATATATTTAAACAGTTAAATGACTAATATAAAAGATTGTTGTAGGTACCTACCTACCATCTACAACATTTTAATTTTATATAAACGTTATAATTTTATTTTATTTTAGAAGAAATCGTTGGCTTGATTATATTGGCAGAAGCGAATTGAAAAATGAGCCAGTGAAAAAGAACAATTTGTTTGTGGAGAGCATTTTGAAGAAAATATGTTTGCTAGTTTAGGTGGTTTTATATTGAGAGAAAACGCTGAGCCCACATTATTTAATGAAGGGTATGTAAAGGTAGATAATTAATTTAAAAGTCCTAGCTTTAAATTGTTATGGATCACATTTCTAATAATAATACAATAAACTTTTGGATAAATTAAAATTAACTAAAACATTTTTTAGGTGTTTATATTGGTGCCAGTACCAGTAGGTACATGAAATGCTGTACCTACACCTTCAAAATACATAGAAGAAAATAAGAAGGTACAGGGTGATCCCCTATAATGTCGCCCCCCTTTAACTTTTTTATTTTAAGTGTCCCAAAGAATTTAAAAGTGTGGTTATGTAGGAACTAAAAAATACTTTTTTTCTACGTATAAAGAAAATTGGAAAATTTATCAGTATACAGGGAAAAACAAAAAGTTTATTTTTTTTCAATGGATCACCCTATATTTGAATTTATTTTTCGATTCCTTGTAAAATTCTGAGCATAATTTATATACAAACCATATACCTAAACTCAACCGTTTCTGAAATATTCGCATTCGAAATGTCATCATTAAATGTTTTTTTAAACTGTTAAAAATCAAGAAGCCTCAGTATACCAAAATTTTTATTGAAAATAAATTACTATAGTGACATTATGTCAATAAGTGTTGTTAAATAAGTAAAAATGGCGTACTCAGACAGAGAAAGACAAACTATTTCAACTTATTATCTTAAAAATAATTTAAATATTTCAGAAACGGTTGAATTTAGGTATATGGTATGATATATGAAATATGCTTAGAATTTTACAAGGAATCGAAAAATAAATTCATATATAGGGTGATCCATTGAAAAAAAATCAAATTTTTGTTTTTCCCTGTATACTGATCAATTTTCCAATTTTCTTTATACGTAGAAAAAAAGTATTTTTTAGTTCCTACATAACCACACTTTTAAATTCTTTGGGACACTTAAAATAAAAAAGTTAAAGGGGGGCGACATTATAGGGGATCACCCTGTACACAAAGATATTTCTCCTGATTTCAGGTCTCTAAATTTAAGTTCGGTTCATGTAAGTTTTAATTTTATTTATACCCTGGGGTGGTCAAAAAGGAACCTTTAATAAAATTGCGTGGAATTGGATCCAATTCACTGTGATTAAATTTTACCATATGCTATCTAATTTTTTGTATCGAAGTTTGGGGTGAAGATTTTGAGCAACTCCTTATGATTTAAATTTAGGTTTCTGTTCTAAAATAGTTTTTGTAGTTTTATTTTTAATTGTTTTTTCTGTTGTAAAATATTTTTTAGTGTTATTTTTAATTTGGTTTATTTCAAAATAAACGTTCTTAATTTGTTGGAACCTTAAAAAATTACTAAGAATGAATTTATTAAGAAAAATTTTACGTTTTACTCTTTTTTAAATCAACTGTTGATTTCAGAAATGTAAAAAAATTTATTAGATTAATTGCGTACTTTTTATTGTCTCCAAACTAGATGACATATGGAAAATACCAAGATACATTTTACGAAAAAACTTCTGGTAAACTTTTTTTTCTGAAACTGTTGAGTTTTTGATATAAGTTTATTAAGAAAATTACTATATTCTATTTTAACGTTTTCTATTCATTCTCAAATTATTAAAGGTCCCTTTGCACCACCCTGTATATTCAGATTCATAATATTAATTTAATTAATCAATAAAAATAATTCAAAAAGTTGATAATAATTAATTTCATTATATTTTTCTTATAGGTAAATTATCTACAAACATTTTGACCCAGACACTATCAAAATTAAGCTCCTCAGAAAGTCTAGAAATTGAGGATCAAAAGTGAATGAAGGTATTATCAAAACACGCTGACGTTTAAAAAGTTCTGTTTTGATTTGAGGGAATCCTTTATCGGCCATGACCTCATCGCCGGGCTCGACTAAATTAATGAAACCAGAATCATTAACAATAAAACCATCTGTAGACCTGCCACCATAACCTTTTGATATAAATGTTATCATTCCTGATGGACTTATTCCTATAAGATATTTTACGGTAAAAGAAGACTTGTAGGAAGAATACATCAATGCTCCACAGTTGGTGGAGTGTCAACGGGAATTTCGGCGCAATCAATGATTACTCGACAATTTGGATATTTCTTAAAAGAAGGTGGCATAATTGCTTTAATTGCTTCTCTAGTAGGCCAAAATACCCATGTTTTTATACTCAAATAATGTTTCCAAAACATCGTCAAAAATTTTGGAGGCAGTTTTCCCAGAAAAAAAATCCAGTTGCTGCAAAAGTTAAGCAGAGTTTCATTTTCATAGTTTTGCTTTAAGTTAAGTTTTACTTATTATGTTGTTATCTTTTTCTGTTGTCATTCATATTACGTTTATGTAGTCTTAAGTTTTGTTCACACATGTATATACAAAATATATTTTTATACGGCATTATATAATAAACCAAGTATAAACAAATTTTTCCTTAATATAATCCTTAAATTTTGACAAAATAAAAAAAATCAACACAAAAAGTGCCAAAGTCAGGACTAAATTAATATATTTTTTGGGTATAACAAAACTTTTTTTTCTTTTTTAATCATGGAAGTCCAATCCACTTTCTACGAGAAATACAATACAACCCACATTTTGATCATAATATTTTGTGCAATATTTCATAATCAAAAATAAACCTTAAAACCGCAATATCTTAAAATCACCTATTTCAAATAGGCTATTTGTGACTAAGGCACTTTTTGCATTGACCCCTTCAAATACAAAACACCCTGTTATTAAAGTATTTTTAAATTAAATATGTATTAACCAGGTAATAGCAACAAACAAATAAAGTAATAGTTTGTTTTGGGAATGATTACTAAAAATTGGGATAATTTTGACAGTTTGGGTATGTTAAGAGTAAACGCTTTTGTGTTTAGTTAGGAAATCATTACTAACACAAAATCATTCACATTTAAAATGTCCAAGCTGTTTCCAATATACTCGATTTTTGGTAATCATTCCCAAAACAGTCCTCTCCATGTAGCCAAAGTTCTTTGAGGTAATAATTTAATGTAATGGTTGATTTTGTTTTCCACTTAACATTTTTTTATATTAGTTACTAGATTATGAACACAAATAATAAAAATATTTTCCAGACGATTTTTACAAAAACATCCATATTCCAAATTGGTATTTACATACAATTTTTAAATTTTAAATTAATATTTTAATTAACTAGATAATGTATGTGATATCCAAAATAGATATT